TCCTGCCTGCCTACTATAAAGGAAAGTCAAAACAGACTTGGCCAATCAGAGCAGAGTTGGCTTACAAAATGGAGGGGTTTGCAACATTAAGCATTGAATTCATTCAAATGATTGGTTCAAATCGTATTGAAATCATTCCAAATTTATTAATAATATAATAATTAATAATAAAAATTGCCGCTTAGATGCATTTAAGCATGATGTAGGAGACTCCAGCATAATATTAGGATATTTTTAAATACCAGATGACATTTAACATTATTAAAATAAACTGTAATTAATATGCATGTATACTGTGATGTCATTCAGATTAATTTCAGAAAGTCTAAACGTATACGGATCGATTTACATTAAACTGCAATGCTAAATTTAATATAATTCACTTTTCTGTGGTTTTTAGTTTGATTAAAACAGCTGCTAATGATACGATGCATTTCTGTAAAACATTCCAGGTTTTATTTGTCATTTTAATCTGCTGTTTTGGCTATTAAAGTCAGTGTTCAGACTTCTGATTCAATTCTGTCCTCTGAATCATTTGCTAAAATTCAGTTCTTATGAGTCGCTGAGCTGTTGACTCTCTCGAACTCTGAACTGATTCAATCTAAAGATTTATTTTTCATTCATGAACATAAATCATAAATGTGATCCAAGATGGATGAAGAATAATTAGTATTTGTGTACATCATCATACAGTGTTTCTGCAGGTTCCACCGTGTTAAATTTAAGACTTTTGAAGACATTTTAAGACCATTATGAATGAAATTTTAGACTCATAAAAGAATAAAGGCTAAAGAACTTTTCAAATGGCCCAGATGGAAAAGATTTTTATTTGACCTATTAAAAATATTAATATTTACACATGTAATAATACAATAATAGTTTAATAATGAACAATTTATAAAAATTTTAGATACTACTTCTTAGTTAAACATTTTTACTAATGTGTAAAAACAAGCAATACTTGTTGTATCCATACACTTTTTTCCGACATAAACTTTCTTTAAAATAAAAAAATAAACAAATGTTTTAAAAGTTTTAAAAATAAAAAAATAAATAAAAATAAAAAAAATAAATAAACCATTATGATAAATAGAGTTAAAAATGGCCTTTTTAAATAAAAAGTTTAAAGTTTTATTGAGATGATTGTTGGTGATTGTATGGGTTTTGGCCAGATTGGTTAGCAATACATGAATCCAGAAAAATTAAGACCTGTTTAAAAAAGATTTAAGACCTACAACACAATATTTCAGTATATTTAAGACAATTTAAATTTAGATTTTGATATTTAAGACATTTTAGGACTTTTAAGACCCTGCAGAAACCCTGTATATATGATTATGTTACATGATCATGTTATAAGCTCCAAAAAAATTGTATATAACTGTTTTATTAGTTTATTTTATTTATTGAGATATTTGAACTGCTCTTTGTAAACGAACATATAAACTGTTCAGTATATCCGAACTGATAATAAACTGTAAAACTGTAATATTTCTTTTTTCTTAGTTTTATTAATAGTCAGTCCTTAACAGTGTTGGGTAAAAAAAGTTAGATTTTACAATCTTAATCCTATCTTAATCTTTTTTTAAATGTTAAATAAATATAACACATATCGATCAATCAACTCCCTCAACTTTCTCTCGCTCTTGTAAACTAGAATCACTGAGATTTGAACAGGTCAGTCGACTAATTTGTGAACGATGTCGATTCATTCAAGTGATCAAACTCATCAAAACAATTCACTGACAATTGCAAATATCAACTAACATGTTTTTATCCCACAAAACAGTGAATTTCAGCCTATATCCCCAACATATAAACAGTAAAACAGAACTAACTGTTCAAATAAACTTAGTTAATAAACTCTGTTGTTTTTTTAATTAGTCTTATTGTAATAGTCAGTCCTTGACAATATTAGGTCAAATTTATTTATTGCGATCTTAATCCTATTTTACTCCCACATCGATTTTTCTTTAAGATATAATTAAGATTCCTAATATATTACTTTTTTACCAAACGCTGCTCCTCGAATTCAGTTATTTAATTTTCTTAACTTTCTCTCACTCATGTGAATCACTAAGGTTCAAACAGGTCAGTCGACTAGTTCATGCAATAGTATCTGGATGCAGCCTTGATTATGCAAGCTGAAACTGCAAGTCTCAGACTTGCAATGTCAGACACAATGCACTCAATGGAGCTGGTGAGAGGCGTGGTTAGGGGCGGGGGCAGGTGTGCGCATTAAAAAGCAATGCATGCAGCTCAGCTTGCAGGTCTGCATCCAGAGCCATCTCTATTCATGAATGATGTGCTGAAATGATTCATTAAAGTGATCAAACTCAAGATCGCTAATGGCAAAATATCAAGAAGACAACTAGCATGTTTTTATTCCACAAAACAGTGAATCTCTGCCTACATCCACACACGAAAGGTGGACATTTGTGGATTTATTTGTGCATAAAGCACTTGCAATAGTAAGTTCAAGAGTCATTTTGCTCGTCATCATGACTCATTAGTGTAGTGAGAGTCAAGGAAACATAATGCATACTACTTCCACATTAGATAAAAAATATAGGCTTTAGATTCCTTATACATATATATATATATATATACTTTTTAGCTTTAACCCAACACTTTTCCTTGAATCTGATTTTTCAATTTTCTCACTGAGTTAAAGCTGGTTTTATTTGCACATTCGTTCACTGACAACACTGTCCTTATATTTTGACTGCTACTTTGAATATTCAATCAGAAATAGCATGTAAGTATGACTTCAAAACAACATCAGCACTGTTTGATTTGACAAATCTATATACAGTATACTGAAGTCAGTATTATTTCCGCATTTGATTTTTTTCTTGTTTAAATATTTCCCAAATGATGTTTAACAGAGCAAGAAAACTTTCACAGTGTGTCTGATTTTATTTTTCCTTCTTGTTTGTTTTATTTTAGCTGAAATAAAAGCATGTGGTGACTAAAAATGATTTGGTGAGTCAAATCAATACAGTGATCAAACACATAAAAAATTATTGACGACATATGCAAATATCAACTAAAGCCAAGTAACATGTTTCATTTCATAAAACAGCAAATCTCCACGAAGATTTGAACAGGTCAGTCGAATAATTAGTGAACGATGTTGTGAAACGATTAATTAAAGTGATCAAACTCATAAAAACGATTCATCAACAATTGCAAATATCAATTAACATGTTATTATTACACAAAACAGCCAAACAAAAGGTGATATTGATGGTTTTATTCGTGCATAAACTAGTAAGTTCGAGAGCCGTTTTGCGCGTCATTACCAGGGTCAGACTGAATCTGCGGACATTTTTTGCTATTTCTGCGAAGAATTTTGGTAAAAATCTGTGGATTTCTGCTCAATTATTTTGGTAGTATCCTAACTAAAACCTTAATATGTGAAATAAAAACTAATATCTTTTTAACTTTAAAATGTCAATCCAATTAGATTCACTTTATTTGGTAAACAAAGCAAGTCTCTCATATAATATATCGACTTAAAGACAGAACATATTACTGTACAAACTGCATTGTACATAAATCAGATGAACTTTCTCATATTAGTCAAACTGTGCATGTCCAAATAAACATGATACATACTTCTACATTAGATGAAGAAAATATGCTTAATATTACTAACACATAAATACTTTTTATCCAACACCGCTCCTCGAATACAATTAGAACTTTTTCTCAAATTCCTGGTATTCTTGTGAACTAAAATCACCAAGAACAGGTCAGTCGACTCATTCCTGACGGATTTTGTGAATCGATTCATCAAAATGATCAAACTCATAAAAATGATTCATCAACAAATCACAAATATCCCACAAGACAACAAACCTCCACATATATTCACACTGCACATGCTGTAAAACAGGAGTAACTGTTCAGATGAACTCAAAAGATAATACATTACAATCTTAATCTTATTTAAAATGCTAAATAAACATACACACCGATTATCCTCAACTTTCTCTTGTTCTTGTGAACTAGAATCACTGAGATTCGAACCGGACAATCGACTAATTCGTGAAGGATGTTGTGAATCGACTCATCAAAGTGATCAAACTCATAAAAACTATTCATTAACAATTTTAAATATCAAAAAACATGTTTTTATTCCATAAAACAGCGAATGAAAAGTTGATATTCATGGAGTATTTGCTCATTAACTATAATAGTAAGTTCGAGAGCCGTTTTGCATGTCATGATGACTCACAAATGTAGTGGAAATCAAAATAAACACAAGACATACTTCTACATTAGATAAAGAAGCTAGGCTTAAGATTCCTAATACATGTATATGTTTTACCCATCACTGTTTCTAGAATACAGTTATTTTATTTGATCTCAAATCACCAAGATTCAAACAGGACAATCGACTAATTTGTGAAGGATGTGGTGAATCGATTCATTAAAGTGATCAAACTCATAAAAATGATTCATCAACAATCACAAATACCAACTAACATGTTTTTAACCCACAAGACAACAAATCTCCACATATATTCACACTGCACATGCTGTAAAACAGGACCAACTGTTCAAATAAACTCAAAAGGTAATATATTACAATCTTAATCTTATTTAAAATGCTAAATAAACATACACACCGATTATCCTCAACTTTCTCCTGTTCCTCTGAACTCGAATCACTGAGATTCGAACAGGTCAGTCGACCAATTAGTGAACGATGTGGTGAATCGGTTCATTAGTTATCAAACCCATACATGAAGACTTACGACAATCAAAAAATACCAACTAAAGCCAACTAACATGTTTTAATCCACAAAGCAGCGAATCTCCGCCTATATCCGCACAGCAAAAGTTGACAATATTCGCGCATTAACTACTTGCAACAGTAAGTTCGAGAGCCGTTTAGCACCTCATAACTCGCTAGTGCAGTAAGAGTGAATGAAACAGACCCATAATGATCAATATTAATGTTGAGGGAGCTGCTGTGGAGCTGTACTCACCCAGAAGGGTTTGTCGGGGCCGCAGAGGTGCTCCATCGCCCGGCGCGGCTCTTCTTCAGGCGGGGAGGATGTGGCGGCGGCTCGCTGCTGCTGCGGAGCTTTTCTTCGTCTTCTTCTTCACACACACGATCATGGACCAAACACACACACTGCATCGACGGATGGAGGATAATCTGTTATTAGTTGAGCTCCAGGTTCCTAACCCTCCTCCCACGGGAGCGCGGATGACGTGTACGGCTACTTACTTTCCCTCGGTACAGTCTACACACCAGCGTTTGGTACATTACTGGAGGTTGTCATGACACGAAGGCCCCGCCCACTCTGTGTGTGTGTGTGTGTGTGCGCGCGCGAGCCACGGATTTATACACTGAAAAAACACACACTGAAATAACTTATAAAAATAGTCATCAGTATTAATGTTTTCTCAAACTAATAATATGCAGCAAAGCATTGCGTTTCTTGAGTTAATAGATAATTCTAGCTTAAAATAAACTGATCAAAAATGTAGATGTTTAAAGAAAATACACTATAGCTACATTAAAAAATACTTTGAACCAACTTAAATAAAATGGCTGTGATTTGTTTTATTTTCGGTGCAGACAGACAGACTTTATTTAAAGATTAACAAACAAACACTCCTCTTCTGATTAACATGCATAGATTAATTGTTCACCAAACAATGCAGACTGCCAAAATAAACATTTCATGGTGTGTTATTGCGAGGAATGAAAACACATCTTCATTATAAGATCATTTATTTATTTCACAAGAAGAGACAAGAACATGAATGTAACTAAATTAGCCCAAATGAAAGTAGCCTTCACTGAAAAAAATAAACATTTAGCTGAGCCACCGTGCCACCCTAAATATTAATATATATATATGTATATATATATATATATATATATATATATATATATATATATATATATATATATATATATCTACAGTTGAAGTCAGAATTATTCGCCCCCTTTTGATTTTTTTTTCTTTTTTATTTATTTCCCAAATGATGTTTGACAGAGCAAGGAAATGTTCACAGTATGTCTGATAATATTTTTTCTTCTAGAAAAAGTCTTATTTGTTTTATTTCGGCTAGAATAAAAGCAGTTTTTAAATTTTTAAAAACTATTTTTGGAACAAAATTATTAGCCCATTTAAGCTAATTTTGTTTTCAATAGTCTACAGAACAAAAATAATTACCCTAACATACCTAGTTCACCTTATTAACCTAGTGAAGCCTTTAAATGTCCCTTTAAGAAGTGTCTTGAAAAATATCAAGTAAAATATTATTTACTGTCATCATGGTGAAGATAAAATAAATCAGTTATTAGAGATGAGTTATTAACACTATTATGCTTAGAAATGTGCTGAAACAGTCTTCCCTCCATTAAACAGAAATTGGGGGAAAAAATAAACAGGGGCGCTAATAATTCAGGGGGGCTAATAATTCTGACTTCAACTGTATATTTAGGGCGGCACGGTGGCTCAGTGGGATCTGATTTTCATTTTAAGTTGAACCAAAAATAATGTCAAAAATGTCAAAATCAAAAACTAGATTATGTTGCTTCCTCCATGAACACGATACTTTGAAAAACTCACTTAATTTTGACTCTTTGTTTCTGAAAAGAACACAATATGTTGTGCTTGTCTAGAAAATGCTTCTTGCTTTAAGAGTTTTGAGATATTTGAACAAGAAACAAGAGAAAAATCTAAGTAAGAACAGCATTTTTGCTGTGTAGACATTAACTAAAGCTTGTTTTCTAATGAATTAGATCTCTCGATTCTGAACCACGGATTGTCTTCAGGTGAAACACACATATTTGCATTAATATGTTCCACAGGGATATAAAAGTACTGCTATAGTCTGGCACATTTGAATGCATGTAAATGATCAGCAGGTGTGTAGTAGCATTGTTGCTGTCACGAATCTGAAAAGCGGATAGCAGAAGGCCTGTGTGCAGCATTTATTTGCTTATTTTTTTTTTAATTCATTCTTCCAGCGTAAAAATACTTGGCTCAGTGGTCAGCTCTGTGGCCTTACAGCAAGAAGGTTGCTGGTTTGAGTCCCGGCTGGGTCAGTTGGTGTTTCTGTGTGGAGTTTGCATGTTCTCCCCGTGTTGGCGTGGGTTTCCTCCGGGTGCTCCGGTTTCCCCCACAGTCCAAACACATGCGCTATAGGGGAATTGATGAACTGTGAACATAATGTATGAGTGTGTGTGTGTGTGTGTGTGTGAATGAGTGTGTATGGGTGTTTCCCAGTACTGGAATGCAGCTGGAGAGGCATTCGCTGTTTATAATATATGCTGCAATTATTGCCGGTTCATTCCACTGTGGCAACGTTTAAAATAGAGACTCAGCCAAAGGAAAATGAATATGTAGAGAACTCTGTAAAATGCAAACAGTACAGGCAGTTTATAGATATTTGTATTGTTATTTACAACAACTGAGACAATAAATCACCTCAAACTATTAAAAATAACAATAAAAGTCACGTTTTACAACTTTTCTATGTTAAAAGTTGTTGGAGGAAAGATCAATATATCATTATGCAATTCTAAAGCAATAAAAAACATGAATAATTACCAAAAAACTGCTAATTTATGGATGTTTTTACAGTGAACATCGATCAAACTGGCTGAAAATATTAAGAAAATAATTAAATATTATATTATATTATATTATATTATATTATATTATATTATATTATATTATATTATATTATATTATATTATATTTCTTATACGTTATATTATATTTTATTTTGCTTCATTATATTAATATTATATTATATTATATTATATTATATTATATTATATTATATTATATTATATTATATTATATTATATTAAATTGTATTATATTATATTATATTTTATTATATTGTATTGTATTGTATTGTATTGTATTATATTATATTATATTATATTATATTACATTATATTTTCTTATACGTTATATTTTATTTTATTAATATTATATTATATTATATTATATTATATTATATTATATTATATTATATTATATTATATTATAATATATTAATATTATATTCCATTGTATTATATTATATTATATTATATTATATTATATTATATTATATTATATTATATTATATTATATTATATTATAATATATTAATATTATATTGCATTGCATTGTATTATATTATATTATATTATATTATATTATATTATATTTTGTTTTATTTTATTTTACTTTATTTTATTTTATTTTATTTTATTTTATTTTATTTTATTTTATTTTATTTTATTTTATTTTATTTTATTATAAATACTGAAAATATTAAGTTAAGCTTTGCAAGCTTAAAAAATGTAGCCTAATTAATTTATTAAAATAAGCTAAAGCTGACATATTATGCAAAAATTACTTGGGTTTAACACACAGTTGTGTGACAAAAGTGTGTGAATACAGGCAGCTTCTAATGAATAATAAAAAAGTGTTCAGTAAAAAAATATAAATAATGCTTCTATAATAGTAAGCATTGCATATTTTATAATCACTCATATTTTGGAACTGCATTAGTTTCAAATTATAAAGGAAAGAGATTCACAAAATTTGATGTCCAGAAAAGGACAGAGGGTTTAATGTGTGTAATGAGATCTGCTTCATCAGGATCAGTCCTGTAGTTACACTCGATGCTGGATTAAGAGCTTTATTTCCACAGCGTCTCTCTTGCTTATAGAACAGACCCGGTTTTAAAAATATACAAGTAGTTTCAGAGATTGTTGTGTGCTGCAGAGGGATATAAGATGCTGCATTGAATATATTGCTTCTCTTACCTGCAGTTTTTGTCTTGATTTTAGTCCAAATATCTAAAAAGCAAAGCAAATATATTGTCTTGTTTTAAAAGATAATGTGCCAGTTTTCACATCTGCTGATGTGGTGAGTCAAATCAACTTGTTTTTGCTTTTAACATAAGATTCTTCTTCTTCCCTCATTGGCAGATTATTCTGCTTGTTTTAAGGAAAAACTCACTTAATTTTGACTCATTATTTCTGAAAACACTATATATTTTCTGCTTGTCTAGAAACTGCTTCTAGATTTAAAGATTTTGAGATATTTGGACTAGAAACAAGTTAAAGACTTTAAGTAAGGAAAGCACAATCTTATGAAACACAGAAACAGCCTCTCAGTTTCAGGAATGGTGAATCATTAGTTTCATGTGTAAACTCACACAATCTTTAAGAGAGTGTTAAATCACTGTGACTCACCAGATCAGCTGTAAATGTTACAAACATCCTTTATTTCTTGTGTAAACAGTGATGTTTATTTTGGTTTGGGAGTTTTTGGGTGTTGTGCGCCCTCTAACGGTGCACAGGGTAATACAGGATCTGCTTGGTAATGGATCAAAAACTTTTTCAAAATGAACCCAAGACAACTGTTTATTAGTTTTAGGGCAACTTTAATGAAAGGTTTCGATTCACTTCAAATGCTGACTACTGTACAGTGCTCAGCATCGAGTACAGCCCATTTTGAAAATGAATATTTTCCTCCATTTCTCTGTGAATATTCTCGTGCATTTAAACAAAACATATTTATTAAACAGATATATTTATTAAAATAATATTTTAGTCACCAACCATATTTAGAAACAGAAAGATAATACAACTAAATTCAAGCAAAATATTGCAAAAATAAGTGACAACCTGGGCGATGCAGTGGCGCAGTAGGTAGTGCTGTCGCTTCACAGCAAGAAGGTCGCTGGTTCGAGCCTTGCCTGGGTCAGTTGGTCACTTAAATTTAATTTTGTTCCCACTTGACAAAAATACTACAGTATAGTTTGAACCATACTATAGTAAAGTGTAGTAAACATCCTGGGTCAATTGGTGTTTCTATGTGGAGTTTGCATGTTCTCCCTGTGTTGGCGTGGGTTTCCTCCGGGTGCTCCGGTTTCCCCCACAGTCCAAACACATGCGGCACAGGTGAATTGGGTAGGCTAAATATTCTGTAGTGTATGAGTGTGAATGAGTGTGTATGAATGTTTCCCAGAGGTGGGTTGCAGCTGTAAGTGCATCCGCTGCGTAAAAACGTGCTGGATAAGTTGACGGTTCATTCCACTTTGTGCAACCCAGATTAATAAAGAGACTAAGCGAAAGGAAAATTAATAATATGATATAATAAAATAAAATAAAATAAAATAAAATAATATAATATAATATAATATAATATAATATAATATAATATAATATAATATAATATAATATAATATAATATAATATAATAAAATAAAATATAATAAAATATAATATAATATAATAATAATATACTATAATATAATAATAATAATAATATGATATAATATAATATAATATAATATAATATAATATAATATAATAAAATAAAATATAATAAAATATAATATAATATAATAATAATATACTATAATATAATAATAATAATAATATGATATAATATAATATAATATAATATAATATAATATAATATAATATAATATAATATAATATAATATAATATAATATAATATAATAATAATAATAATAATAATAATATAATATAATATGATATGATATGATATGATATGATATGATATGATATGATATAATATAATATAATATAATATAATATAATATAATATAATATAATATAATATAATATAATATAATATAACATAATGTAATTATTAAAGGATTAATAAAGGGATAAAGCCAAAAAGAAAATGAATGAATGAATAAATTACAACCTACAAAATTCAACTAAAGTTCTTCCTTTTTTTTGCTTCTCTTGATTTTTCCTCTTTTAAAATTTGTATTTAATATTTTTCTATAACATTTCTTTGGCTGTTCTAGTTTTTGGAGCGTTATCGTAAGTTATTTTGTTAGATGAGCTCCTGATTTGGCTTCAGTACTAATCTAATGTACACATATAATATTGTATATCATCCTATTTAAAATATGAATTTAAAAGAGAGATTTGTGAGGGGTGCACTCATATATGCTGAGCACTAATGCTTAAACATTATTAACGTAAAACTTTAACAGATTCCTCTTTTTTCTAGTGATATTTGATGTGAGAAAGTTGTATTTTCAAAATAATGAGTAAAACAAGGAATTTGTAAGGAAAAATGAGGCGAATAGCTGCAGAAAGGTTCAGTTTTTGAGAAAAAAATAAACCACTGCTTTCACCATTCTGGCTACAGGCCTGCATTCACTGATAACTGATCCAGAGTGTTGTTGATCCTGTTTGTATGTACACACATTGTTGAATAAGTGTGTGTTTGTCCTGTACATGGCTTATTATTATTGTAGGTGTGTTGAGTTACTTACTATACACACAGAAATAGCACCTTTAGCACGATGTGTGTGATGGCTTGTGTTTAGAGAATCCTGCATGAAAAAATACTGTAGTAATTTATAGTAAACACTGCAGTGTTTTTAAAGCATACTATAGTAAAGTGCATTACACTGCATTTGTTATAGTATCTACAACTCTCGGTTGATGAATGCTCCAGCACTACTGTATTAACTACAGTGAGCTGATCTGTAATACAGTATGCTTTAGTTTTTACCACAGTAAACTCTGCTTTGTAGTAATTTATACCCTGTAGTTTTAGAGAATAGGTTTTAATCAGTTTTAATAGTTAAAGTCAGTCTGTAAGATGATTAGAATTTATTATTTAAAAGCTACAGTGTACAAATAAAACTACTTATTTAAAGTAGCATATATAAAATGAACTAGAAAAGAACTAGAAGACTGTTCTGTTCAGCCTAATGAGGTAAAAACATTTCAGCCGTTTTATTGTAAGGTGTGATGTGAATCCTGAAGTGGACAGCAGGAGGCACAATCTGAAGTGTTGGTGGTGAGTGTGTTGCACAGTGTTATTTTGACCACTAGATGAGGATCTCGTGCAGAATGATGAGCGCCCAAACTCTCTGTCAGAGGAGTAACAGTATTAGAGATGTGGAGTCCTGAAATACATGAATGACAAATACATGATGGATGGATGGAAGGTTAAGAACATGGATGGATGGATGGATAAGTGGATAATTGATGGATGATTGATGAATGGATGAATAAATGAATGAATGGATAAATGGATGGATGGTTGGGTGGATAAATTGCTAAATAGATGGATGGAAGGATGGATGGATGGATGGATGGATGGATGGATGGATGGGTGGATGGATGGGTGGATAAATGGATGGATGGATGGATGGATGGATGGATGGGTGGTTTGATGGATGGATTGGATGGATGGATGGATGGATAAGTGGATAATTGATGGATGATTGATGAATGGATGAATAAATGAATGAATGGATAAATGGATGGATGGTTGGGTGGATAAATTGCTAAATAGATGGATGGAAGGATGGATGGATGGATGGATGGATGGATGAATGGATGGATGGATGGGTGGATGGGTGGATAAATGGATGGATGGATGGATGGATGGGTGGTTTGATGGATGGATGGATGGATGGATGAATGCATGGATGGGTGGGTGGATGGGTGGATAAATGGATGGATGGATGGATGGATGGATGGGTGGTTGGATGGATGGATGGATAGATGGATGATGGATAATAGATGGAAAATAGATGATGGATGGATGGATGCATGGATGAATGTAGGAATGGATGGATAGATGGATGGATGAATGAATGGATAGATGGATGGATGGATGGATGGATGGATGGATGGATGGATGGATGGATGGATGGATGGATTAATAGATGGATGGATGGATGGAAGGATGGGTGGATGAACTGATGGATGGATGGATGGATGGATGGGATGATGGATGATGGATAATAGATGGAAAATAGATGATGGATGCATAGATGAATGGATGAATGAATTGATAGATGGATGAATGGATGGATGGATGGAAGGATGGGTGGGAGGGTGAATTGATGGATGGATGGATGAATGAATGAATGAATGAATGAATGGATGGATGGATGGATGGATGGAGCCTACAGGGTGAATGTTAATGTTCAAGTTATTGGTAGATTATTTTAAATCGTGCAGGCCTGTTTGGTAGTTTATGTAAAAGTTTTACTAGTCTAATAGTTTAATACTCTGTTAGACTGTCATTTTTATTGTTGGCCACTTTTTATATACTGTTTTGAATTCTGCTTCAATGGTGGAAAATGAGAGTTATTTTCCCTCAGAAATGCGTCATGCGGATCCTCCCTTCACCTCATTTGCCCATTCAGACTGTATGTTTGTGTCTCAATACACTGTAAAGTGCCTACATAGACATCATCTGTGTGTGGGCATCACAGGCACGCGCAGCATTTCTGTGCGGGAACGCGCTCCTGATGCCCACAGAGTTGCCGCGTGAACTCGTGAACAGCAGAAACTTATTTTCTAGATGTCATTTGAAGAGTTGCTGTCGACCTGACGGATGTTTGCCGGTTGTTTAACGGAGTGTGCTCGTCGGTCATTCTAACGGATCCGTTACCGAAGCTCCGGGAGCGATGATCGGGAAGGAGCGGGGCTCTCCGGCATCCAAGCCGCCTCCGGGCGCCTCACCTGCGGCTGCAGGACTCAGCGCGACCCGCGGGAGATTTTCCAGAGCCAGGAGGAAACACAGCAATGGATCCGTCCAGTGAGTAACTACTCTGTCATTACATGCACACGCTCAGCTTTAAGGTATATCAACAGTTTATCTACAGTATAGCTTAGGGTATTATGTTTCATTTTAAAACTTTGGTCTCTTCATTAGGTAGCTCATAAACCATAATCTATGACTCAATAAACTCAATACTTTGCTGCTTATTATTAATTATTAAGGTAAAAGTTGCTTTTAGGTATTTAGATCAGGCCAGTTAATGCAGAATATGTGCTTTAGAAGTAGACTAAACAGCCAATAAGCCACTAGTTAATCATAGTGGAAACTGGTCACTGTGCTAAAAGCATTACCTATTATTTACCATAGTCTTATTATATTTAGAAAATGATGACTCTCAAATATGGACAAACCCACATCTGGGTTAAAATATATCATTAACATTATCATAACAAAAATAAATAAATAAATAAACAACACAATGGCTGTGTTTGTCCATATTTGACTCAATAATGGGTTAAAACAGCCTACATTTTTAGAGCGTACATGCAGCATTTCTGTCACAATGTGCTGAAACGTAATTTTTAAGAAGAATCAAATTAACCTTATGAGTTATTTTTACTTAAATCACATTAAACTGACATAAAACACCATGTATAGCTCAACATTTCAAAGTTAGAAGTGATTTGATTTAATGATGAAAACTATAATCAATGTAAAAGCATATACGACTTATTGATCATCTAATTTACTACAGTGGATGATATTAGGAAAGAAAACATGGGGTATTTCTATGTCTCACGGTCAATATTTCTTATTAGCAGGATCATTTATAGTCTTTTACACACTTTTTAAAGTTCTGGGTTGTTCTAACCCAAATGTTGGGTCAAAAATGGACAACCCAACGTTTGGGTTAAAAAGAGTGATTTAAATTTGACTGGACAAATGTTAGATTTTTTAATGTGTGACTCAACATAGAGACACAACAACCCAGAAATCTTCAAAGGGTTTCAATTTGTAGTTTGCAGAATGTTACGTCTTGTTTCAGAATGTTCCAAGATTATTTAAAAAGTCGCATTTCCATAACGTTTACAAAGTAATACTGTTGAACGTCCCATTTATCTGTGTGAAAACATAGTCAGAAAGCGTGCTCCCTAAGAGATTTTGTTTAGGACCCCTAATGACCCCTAAATAACTACATTGTTTTGCGAAGCATACTATAGTGAAGCTCTTGAATGAATCTGTTGTGGTGTTTCAGTTGTTGCAATGGTACAAACCAGTGATCTACAACTATTACAATGCAACACACCACAGTTTACAATACTACTTATTATAAGTGAACTATTTATAAGTATACTACATATATACTGTAACAAATACTGAAAGTTCACTTATAAAAATTAGTAAAGTGTATAATAAATTGTATATAAATAATAGTAAAGTGTATTATACTGTATATTCATTTATTTATTATTTCTTTTTTGGCTTAGTCTCTGATTTATCAGGGGTCGCCACAGCGGAATGAACCACCAACTATTCAAGTACATGTTTTACGCGGCGGATGCCCTTCCAGCTGCAACCCAGTACTGGAAAACACCCATACACACTCATTCACACACACACACACAATTTAGTTGATCAGTTCCCCTATAGTGCATGTGTTTGGACTGTGGGGGAAACCGGAGCACCCGGAGGAAACCCACACCAACACGGGGAGAACATGCAAACTCCACACAGAAACACCAGCCGACCCAGGCAGTATAATACACTTTACTATAGTATTGTTTAAACTATACTGTGGTATTTTGGTCAAGTGGGACCAAAATTAAATGAAGCACACTTACTGACGCCATTAGTAAAGGCTGAGAGGAGCTTTTGTGCAACTGAAATAAACAGGATTACAGGATTAGACAAAACCCTCAAAGTATCAAACATATTTAGGAGGGTTTGTGTTTGTTTGGGGTTGCACATTTATAGGATTTCTTTGTTGAACTCTGGCGCTCATTAACCCTTATGGCTCTAAAATGACCATTATAACAGCATGTTTTTTAAAAACGTTTTAAACTGAACACATTTAGGGTAAAAAACAACACAGGCTCATTCTGATAACGTACCCCTTTATACATCATGATTCCATTAGAGGGCGCTGTGTACGCTTTTACAGATCTCAAATTTCTCTCACTAGTGCAGGGGTGGCCAACCCTGTTCCTAGAGAGCCACCTTCCTGCAGATTTCAGTTGCTACCCATATCAAACACACATGAACCAATTAATTAGGACCACGTGATCAATACAGGCAGGTGTGTTTGATATGGGTCGCAACTGAAATCTGCTGGAAGGTGGCTCTCCAGGAACAGGATTGGCCACCCCTGCACTAGTGCCATTGGCGCCTGCTGTTTTCACGTAAATCCACCAGAGGGCGCTGAGTATGCTTTTACAGATATCAAATTTCTCTCACGAGTGCCATTGGCGCCTGCTGTTCTCACATTAATCCACCAGAGGGCGCTGTGTACGCTTTTTAAGATCTCAAATTTCTCCACAAGTGCCTTTTGCGCCTGCTGTTCTCTTGTAAATCCACCAGAGGCCGCTGTCGACTGACTGACCGACCGACCGACTGAGCCACCCTCCCAACCCAACCAATAGTGTTTTCAAAATTGACCTCTTTCCTGTAGTGAGAGTTGAGTGTTGTCCAGTGAGTGAACACTCCTAAAATACTGCACACTGATGAGGGAACACCTGCACATTCACAGTGTGTGATGAAGATCAGGTTCAGTGAAGGCGGCTCAGTTTGATCTGAAGGACATGATAGTGTATACTGAATTATAGACAACACTAGGGTTAATGGAGAAGAACTGGCCACAGACAGCTTTACAGTAGGCTTGCGTGCGAGTAAGTGTGTGTTTCCTGCAGGTCGAGCTCCTCCAGTGGTACGGGTCAGTCAGTGGAGAGCATCGGGACCCGTCAGCCATCCAGAATGCGGATCCGGCGGCAGCAGCAGCGTCTGTCTGCGGTGTTCAGTCGAGGAGAAACAAACGCAGATGCGGCGGCGGTGCCTGACGATCCCTCTGAACTCTCCAATCACATCACGGCTCCGGGGATTCTGAAGATCTTTGGCACTGAGATTTGCGAAGGAGCCAATTATAAGAGTGTGTTGGCGACCACACACTCCAGCGCCAGAGAACTGGTGAAAGAGGCACTGGCCAGGTCAGAAACAAGTACCAATAGTTACATTAAAACCGAGACAGACATGACAGGTCTATTTACTATTCACATGCTTATCTAGTCTGTTTACTAATTACACTAATATATATATATATATATATTACACTTATATCCACATGCGCATTCCTCCATCCATTTTCCCAAATGCCTGTTCATCCATTTATTCATTTAGCCATCCATCCATCCATCCATCCATCCATCCAATCATCTATATGCGTATTCATCCATCTATCTATCCTAATCCATATCCATCCGCCTATATGTGTATCCATCCATCTATCCATCCATCTATATGCGTGTCTATCCATCCATCTATCATCCATATGTGTATCCATCCATCTATCCATCCACCAATCTATCCAAATTCGTGTCCATTCATCAATATTTATATCCATCTATCCATCCCTCCAGATGCGCATCCATCAATCCATGTGTATCCATCCATTCATCTGCGTATCCATCCATCCATCCACATGTATATGCATCCATTCATCCATTCGTTTGCATATCTATCCATCAACCTATATATGCATCCATCCATCCATCCATCCATCTATCCATCTATCCACCTATCTATCCATTCATCCATCCCTGCATCCATCCATTTATCCATCCATATGTGTATCCATTCACTCACTCATCCATCCATCCATCCATCCATCCATCCATTTGTTTGCATATCCATCCATTTGTCCATCCATTTGGGTATCAATCCATCCATCCATCCATCCATACATCCATCCATTAATTTGTTTGTATATTCATTCATCCACCCATGTATATCCATCCATTCATTCATCCATTCATATGCATATCCATCCATCCATCCATCCTTTTATTGGTTTCATCATCTATCTATCTATCTATCTATCTATCTATCTATCTATCTATCTATCTATCTATCTATCTATCTATCTATCTATCTATCTATCTATCTATCTATCTATCTATCTATCTATCTATCTATCTATCTATCTATCTATCTATCTATCTATCTATCTATCATCCATCCATCCATCCATTATCCAACCATATGTGTATCCATCCATCCATTGATTTACTTGTTTGCATATCCATTCATCCATCCATCCATCCACCCATCCGTTTATTCGTTTGCATATCCATCTATCCATCCATCCATTTATTTGTTTGCAAATCCAACCATCCATCCATACATCCATCCATCCATCCATCCATCCATCTGTATGCATATCCATCCAGTCGTTTGTGTATCCATCCATCCATTCATTTGCGTATTCATCTATTGAACCATATGTATATCCATCCATCCATCCATCCATCCACCTATCTAACCATTCATCCATCCATGCATCCATCCATTCATCCATCCATATGTGTATCCATCCACTCATTCGTCCATCCCTCCATCCATCCATTTGTTTGCATATCCATCCATTCGTCCATCCATTTGGGTATCCATCCATCCACCCATGTGTATCCATCCATTCATTCATCCATTCATATGCATATCCATCCATCCATCCATCCACCCTTTTATTGGTTTCCTTATCTATTTATCCATCCATCCATCCATCCATTATCCAACCATATGTGTATCCATCCATCCATTCATTTACTTGTTTGCATATCCATCCATCCATCCATCCATCCATCCATCCACCCATTAGTTTATTAATTTGCATATCCATCTATCCATCCATCCATTTATTTGTTTGCATATCCATACATCTATCCATTCATCCATCTATCATTCATCCATCCATCCATCCGTATGCATATCCATCCAGTCGTTTGCGTCTCTATCCATATGTGTATCCATCCATCTATCCATCTATCTATATGCGTGTCTATCCATCCATCTATCATCCATATGTGTATCCATCCATCTATCCATCCACCAATCTATCCAAATTCGTGTCCATTCATCAATATTTATATCCATCTATCCATCCCTCCAGATGCGCATCCATCAATCCATGTGTATCCATCCATTCATCTGCGTATCCATCCATCCATCCACATGTATATGCATCCATTCATCCATTCGTTTGCATATCTATCCATCAACCTATATATGCATCCATCCATCCATCCATCTATCCATCTATCCACCTATATATCCATTCATCCATCCCTGCATCCATCCATTTATCCATCCATATGTGTGTCCATTCACTCACTCATCCATCCATCCATCCATCCATCCATCCATCCATTTGTTTGCATATCCATACATTTGTCCATCCATTTGGGTATCCATCCATCCATCCATACATCCATCCATTAATTTGTTTGTATATTCATTCATCCACCCATGTGTATCCATCCATTCATTCATCCATTCATATACATATCCATCCATCCATCCATCCATCCATCCATCCATCCTTTTATTGGTTTCCTCATCTATCTATCTATCTATCTATCTATCTATCTATCTATCTATCTATCTATCTATCTATCTATCTATCTATCTATCTATCTATCTATCTATCTATCTATCTATCTATCTATCTATCTATCTATCTATCTATCTATCTATCTATCTATCATCCATCCATCCATCCATCCATTATCCAACCATATGTGTATCCATCCATCCATTGATTTACTTGTTTGCATATCCATTCATCCATCCATCCATCCACCCATCCGTTTATTCGTTTGCATATCCATCAATCCATCCATCCATTTATTTGTTTGCATATCCATCCATCCATCCATACATCCATCCATCCATCCATTTGTATGCATATCCATCCAGTCGTTTGTGTATCCATCCATCCATTCGTTTGCGTATGCATCTATTGAACCATATGTATATCCATCCATCCATCCATCCATCCACCTATCTAACCATTCATCCATCCATGCATCCATCCATTCATCCATCCATATGTGTATCCATCCACTCATTCGTCCATCCCTCCATCCATCCATTTGTTTGCATATCCATCCATTCGTCCATCCATTTGGGTATCCATCCATCCATACATCCATCCATTAATTTGTTTGCATATCCATTCATCCACCCATGTGTATCCATCCATTCATTCATCCATTCATATGCATATCCATCCATCCATCCACCCTTTTATTGGTTTCCTTATCTATTTATCTATCCATCCATCCATCCATTATCCAACCATATGTGTATCCATCCATCCATTCATTTACTTGTTTGCATATCCATCCATCCATCCATCCACCCATTAGTTTATTAATTTGCATATCCATCTATCCATCCATCCATTTATTTGTTTGCATATCCATACATCTATCCATTCATCCATCTATCATTCATCCATCCATCCATCCGTATGCATATCCATCCAGTCGTTTGCGTCTCTATCCATATGTGTATCCATCCATCCATTCGTATGCATATCCATCTATTGAACCATATGTACATCCATCCATCCATCAATTCATCCACCCATCTGTCCATCTGCTTATCCATCCATCTATGTGTAAATGTGTTAAGCTTAAAGGTGATGGAAATTACCCAAATTTAATTTAATTTAATTTAATTGTATTTTGTTTTGTTTTGTTTTGTCTTGTTTTGTTCTATTCCCGCAGGTATTCAGTGAGTAAAGCAGACGCGGGTGAGTATGTGCTGTGCGATGTGATTGGCTGCGTGGTGAACCACAGCTGGAGGACGGAGTGTGTTCGCGCGCTCGGAGAAAATGAGAAACCGCTCCTGCTGCAGTCGCTCTGGAAACCCAGAGAAGGATTCGCTCGCCGGTTCGAGATCCAGCGCAAGGCCACGCTGGAGGAACAAAACTCCAGAGACGAGGACACGCTGACCGCTGGTACGACACACACAATGACAGTAATTAGCAGACAGCAGATTGTGTTTGTATGCTAAATGCTCGATATGTTTTGCTTATATTGAAATATTGTCATCTATTTGCATGCTGAATCATGATTGGTCTTAATTTTTTTCATCTCCTTGGATTCTGGATTGTGATTGGCTTTCATTTGTACATCTATTTGCATGCTGAATCATGATTGGTCATCAATCTTTCATCTGTTTGCGTTCTGAATTGTGATTGGCTTTCATTTAAACAACTATTTGCATGCCGCATTATGATTGGTCTTCATTTTGTCTCCTGTTTGCATTTTGAACTGTGATTGGCTTTCATTCGTACGTCTATTTGCATGCTGCATCATGATTGGTCTGCATTTTTTCATCTGTTTGCACTCTGGATAGTGATTGGTCTTTATTCGTACATCTATTTGCATGCTGAATCATGATTGGTCATCAATCTTTTATCTGATTGCATTCTGAATTGTGATTGGCTTCCATTCGTACATCTATTTGCATGTTGCATTAGGATTGGTCTTCATTTTTTCATCTGTTTGCATTCTGAATTGTGATTGGCTTCTATTCGTACATCTATTTGCATGCTGAATCATGATTGGTCTTCATTTTTTCATCTGTTTGCATTCTGAATTGTGATTGGCTTTTATTTGGTCATCTATTTGCATGCTGAATCATGATTGGTGGATTTATCTTGTACTTTTTTTTTTTCATGAATATTGCCTGCATCTGGTTCTCCAGGTATAAACGCTCAGGCGCGGAAGCTGCAGAAGACTCGCTCCAGAGGGAAATCAGTGTGTGTGAGAGACAACGACACACTCAGTCTGTTCAAGAGTCTGAGCGAGACAGACCTGAACTCCTGCACACACACCTGCACAAACCACACACACACTCCAGAGGCTGAAAGCCTGAACACCTGCACACACACCAGTACAAATCACACTCGCATTCCAGACACTCAGTGTGCAGACGGAGAGAGAGAAGAGACGGAGAGCAGCGACGACAACTGCACACAGTACTGCATTCACCCACCGACACACTGCCCATACCTGCTGCTGCTGCAGGGATACAGCCACAGACAGGTACACACACACACACACACACACACACACATTATTCACGTACAGTCTGGAAAGTATTGATAGCGCTTCACTTTTTCCACATTTGTTTATGTTACAGCCTTATTCCAAAATGGATTAACCTTATCAATTTCCTCAACATTCTACACACAATCTCCCATAATGACAATGTGGAAACAGAGTTTCTGAAATTGTTGCAGATTTATTAACAAAAAAAAACTTCATTGGAGTTCACCTGTGCTCAATTCAGCTGATTGGACATGATCTGAAAAGGCTACACCTGTCTATATAAGCGCCCAGGGTTGACAGTGCATGTCAAAGCACAAACCAAGCATGAAGACAAAGGAACTGTCTGTAGACCTCAGAGACAGGATTGTCTGGAGGCACAAGGCTGGGGAAGGTTACAGACACATTTCTGCTCTGAAAGCTCTATTGAGCACAGCGGCCTCCATCATCCGTAAGTGGAAGATGTTTAACCACCAGGACTCTTCCTACAGCTGCCCAGCCATCTTAGCTGAGTGATCAGGGGAGAAGGGCCTCAGTCAGGGAGGTGATCAATAACCTGATGGTCACTCTGTCTGAGCTCCAGCGTTGTTCTGTGGAGAGAGGAGAAGCTTAGAGAAGGACAACCATCTGTGCAGCAATCCACCAATCAGGCATCTGTATGGGAGAGTGGCCAGACGGAAGACACTCCCCGCCTGGAGTTTGCCATCTGCAGGACTCTCAGACCATCAGAAACTAAACTCTCTGCTCTGATCAGACTCAAACTGAACTGTTTGGAGTGAACGCCAGGCGTTACGTTTGGAGAACAGCAGGCGGCGCTCATCATCAGGCTAACAGCATCCCTACAGTGAAGCATGGTGGTGTTGGCATCATGCTGTGGGGATGTGTTTCAGCAGCAGGAACTGGGAGACTAGTCAGGATAGAGGGAAAGATGAATGCAGCGATGTACAGAGACATCCTGAATGAAGACCTGCACAAGAGTGCTCTCCACCTCAGACTGGGGCGACGCTTCATCTTCCAGCAGGACAATGACCCAAAGCACACCGCCAGAATATCAATGGAGCGGCACAGAAACAACTCTGTGAATATCCTTGAGTGGCCCAGCCTGAGCTCAGACCTAAATCCTATTGAGCATCTCTGGAGAGATCTGGAAATGGCTGTACACGTCACTTCCCATCCAACCTGATAGAGCTTGAGAGGTCCTGCAAAGAGGAATGTTTCCCAAAGACAGGTGTGCAGAGCTTGTGGCATCACGTTTAAGAAGACTTGAGGCTGTAATCACTGCCAAAGGTGCATCAACAAAGTATTGAGCAATGCCTGTGAATACTGATGTACATCTGATTTATCAGCTCTTTTAATTTTTAATAAATCTGCAACAATTGCAAAAACTCTGTTTCCACATTGTCATTATGGGGGATTGTGTGTAGAATGTTGAGGAGATCAATCAATTTGATCCGTTTTGGAATAAGGCTGTCGCATAAACACATGTGGGAAAGTGAAGCGCTGTCAATACTTCCCGCATGCACTGTATACAATAAACGTCTTTCATGTGGTCATAGCTGTGAATGTGTGATAATAATGATGAGAACTGTAGGAATTCATTATTTTTGGTTGTAGGAAAATGCTTTAGAGACTGATCAGACCTGAGCATCTAACAATCACAGCGATTCCCCCTCCCTTTTAATAAAACACACATGTGTGACGTCAATGAAGCACGGAAAAAAATGATCCCACATCCCCGCAGTCCCTCTGGAAAACCGCAGAGAGATCCAAACACAGAAAACTGAGCACGCTTGCAGAAATAAACCTGGACAGGAAGTGGAGCGGACACACACTTCCTGTCAGATTAGAGCGATGATCAAACATCTGTACGGTGTGTGTTATCAGAGTCTGTCCACGTACCTTTTTTTTTAGCAGTCTTTGTATTGAGATGTAACACAAATGTGACAATATGAAGAGTTCAGAGGCAGAAACCTGTCAATGCCGTCTGAATTGAAATGAGCATGCTTATCAGTCTCCTGTGTGGATGTTCAGTAATATCACTTTTATGGCAAAGAATAAGTCCTTTTCCTGGTCTTCAAAGTGAAATATCTCAACACAAACAAAGGAGGCTGAGAAAAATGTTCACTTTCGATGGAAATTTCTGACGGCACTTAGAGGTTTTCGCATCTGAACTCTTCATATAATGCATCGCAATCATATTTCTATCTTTATTCTGTCATTCTCCTGTGGCTTAGTCCCTTATTTATCAGGAGTCGCCACAGCTGAATGAACCAGCAACAATTCCAGCATATGTTTTACACAATGGATGCTTTTCCAGCTGCAACCCAGCACTGGGAAACACCCATACACACTCATTCACACTCATACACTATGGAGAATTTTAGCTTACCCAGTTCCCCTATAGCGCATGTGTTTGTACTGTTGGGGACACCGGAGCAAGATTGCATATGAATGTGGGCCACTTTAGGCAGTGATGCAGCACTGCTGGTCTTCCTTCGGCCCAGACGGAATGAATGTGAGCCTGAAGTGGCCCGCCTGTACAATGGCAAAGGGGGGCCAGATTTAAATTCATATATGGGGCATTTAAGGCAAAGATTTGGCACTTGATGTAATCTGAATGTGCGCCTAATGTGGCCCATGTGGAAAATGATCAATGTGGCCCAAATGATGGAGGACAAATGTGGGCCACAGTTGGCAAAATAGTGGCATGGTCATTTAAGAGTAATCTGGGTCTAAACCTAAAGTGGCTCACATGTGTGAGTACAAATGTGGCCCAGTTATCTTAAGACATATGTGGGCCACTTTTGGCAAATGTTAGGCACAATACTATCTGGCTATTGCAGCCATTAGTCTATAGCGGCACAGAGAAGAAATGGCAAATGTGGCCCAGTTATCTTAAAACACATGTGGGCCACTTTGGGCAAATATTCGGCACAGTTAGCTATGGCTAATGTGGCTCTGAACTTAATGTGGCCCAGAGAAGAAATGGCAAATGTGGCCCAGTTATCTTAAAACACATGTGAGCCAAATATTAGAGGAAACACTGTGAACAACTCCTGAATCTGTTCAAGAACATTTGGGAAATATTTGAAAGAAATTCACTGGAGGGCGAATCATTCTGACTTCCACTATCCGTACTGACTAACTCATATCTGCGTGTGCTGTTGTCAGTGATGATGTGTTTTCCCCTCAGGATCTGCTCCTGTATGCTCTGGTCAGCAGCTGCACGGTGTTCGGTCATCATGTGAATCTCTCTGACACTGAAAGCGATGTGAACGCTGTGTGTCTGTGGGATCCAGATCTGCTGGAGCGTCACTGCTGCATCCGGCGAAAGGACATCAACACTGGACCCAGGTTATTATAGCTTATTTTGAAAAAAAGTTTTATTTTGATACTACACTGAAATCAAATGCTTTTCCTACTTAGAGTTTTTGTGTTGTTTCTAGTATCAAGAATATAGTATCAATATCAAGAAGCATTTTCCAGACAAGTACAACATATTATGTTGTGAGCTGAAATTAAGTAAGATTTTTCTTAAAATGAGCAAAATAATCAGCAATGGGGTAAGCAAAATAATTTAAATAATTTAAATTGTTTATGGTTTGATTATTATTTCACTTACATCATTGGCAGATTATTTTGCTTATTATTTACAGATTATTTTCCTTGGGCAAAATAAATATTTAGATTAATCCTAAAATATAAAATAAAAAAACAAAAAAATTTAAGAGGAATTTATTAAAAAAATAAATATATCTTTGGGTTGTTCTAAAGCAAAATTATAATGCGATCTAAGGTAAAAAAAAAAAAAAAAAGTAACTTACTTAAATTTTTTAATTTAATTTTCTGATCACAATGATATTTTTTATTTAATTAAATTTTATAGTTTGTACGAGTAAAATTAAATTAAATTAAATTAAATTAAATCAAATTAAATTAAATTAAATTAAATTAAATTAAATTAAATTAAATTAAATTAAATTAAATTAAACTAAATTAAATTAAATTAAATTAAATTAAATTAAATTAAATCTATTCATTCATTCATTCATTTTTTTTTCGGCTTAGTCCCCTTATTAATGTTGGGTTTATTAATGCCCTTTTTTTAATGCCACAGGGGAATGAACTACCTGAATTAAATTAAATTAAATTAAATTAAATTAAATTAAATTAAATTAAATTAAATTAAATTAAATTAAATTAAATTAAATTAAATTAAATTAAATTAAATTAAATTAGATAATAATATTAAATTAAATAATAATATTAAATTAAATTAAATTAATTAATTCATTCATTCTTGTTTTTCCGGCTTAGTCCCCTTATTAATGGGGGTATTATTAATGCCCTTTTTTCATGCCACAGGGGAATGAACCACCTAAATTTAATTTAATTTAATTTAATTTAAAAGAAACAAAAAATAGCTGTAACAAATTGCAAAAAAAAATTTTAGGTGCGTTTTTTTGTGTGTGTGTGAATTGCAATAGTTTTAGTTTTGTTTAATAAAATGAGCATGTTCTGGTGGTCTTGCACTCCTCAGTCTTCTGAAGCCTCTGAGTGGAGCCGCCGTGCAGAGAAACGGAGCCGCAGTGCAGGACGAGGTGGAGCTGCGGTCCGGAGACTTCATCTCCATCGGGGAGCATTACCTGCTCATGTTTAAGGACCCGACAGCTCCTGGCGCACCGCTCACGGTTATTATTACACTAATTTATTCTACTATTTAAAGGTCATTATATTGCTCTTTTTTGTCAAGCTGGAAACATTTAGCACTGTTAGTTTTAATATTTTTAATGTCTTTTTAGCTTCCCTTCCAGACCACAACAGTATACATAATATATACACATACATTTAAGGGCTAAATAAAGTAATATAAAGTTATTTTATTTTATTATTTTAATGATGTTTTCATTTTTATCTCCAAAGTGTTTTACGTACAGGCATGTAACATCAGTACAGTTTGATTCGTTGATGTTGTTGTTGCTCTCCCTGTGCACTCAGACACACACTCGTCCCGTCCTCCAGCAGGTGTGTGTGGAGTGTGTGTGTCCGCGAGCGTTCAGAAACCTGCAGGGTGAGGATCTGGAGCTGGTGTATGATCTGCAGCATGAACACACACTTCTGGAGGAGATCTTCAGGCTGGCGGAGGAGCTGCACACACACGCACACGCGCACACACACAAGCTGAGCGTGGCGTTCCTGCTGTGTGTGTGTGTGCAGCGCTCCGTCATGCACTTCTCCACGGCGGACCTGCGGCGGCTGCTGCTGCGAGTGGCAGAACGCATACAGACCAGCGTCTGGGTGAGTGAATCACTCTTAAAGAGCCACTCATTTTGTTTATGACTGAATCAAATTGTGGAACGATTCAACTGAGTGAATGCATCGCTTTTAAAGAGCCACTTGTTTTGTTCATTATTGAATCAATTTGTTGAGCAAATCAGCTGAGTGAATGAATCAGTTTTAAAGAGACTGATTCAAACTGTTGAAAGAATTGACTCAGTGAATGACTGACTCTTAAAGAGCCACTCACTCATTTTGTCAGTGACTGAATCAAATTGGGGAATGATTCAACTGAGTGAACGCATTGCTTTTAAAGAGGCGCTTGTTCTGTTCATTACTGAGTTTTTATTGTTAAATGAATCGACTTAGTGATTGACTCACTCTTAAAGAGCCGCTTGTTTTGTTCATGACTGAATCATGACTCTGATTTGCTGAACTTTTGTTCTTTTGTACAGGAAAAGGCGAAGGAACTTGCAGCTTTACAGCCTGAAAAGTAAGAATTGTATAGTTCACTTCCAGAATGACCAATTCTTCATTAATTACTCTTGAATCAATTGAGTGAACGGCTCACTCTTAAAGAGTCACTCATTTCAGCCTTTTGTTTTGTTCATGTCTGAACCAAATTGTTGAATGACGGAACTGAGGGACAAACCTATTCGCAAAGAGCCACTTGCATTTTTCATGACTGAATCAAATTAGTGAATGAACCGACTGGGTAAACGACTCACTAATAAAAACAGCAACTTGTTTTGTTCATGACTGAGTCAAAGTGTTGGACAAATCAGTTGAGTTAACAACTCACGCCTAAAGAAAGACACTTGTTCGTTCATGACTGAATCACATTGGTGAATGAACCAACTAAATTATAGAATAAAAGAGAGCCACTTGTTTTGTTCATGACTGAATCAAAGTTATGAATGAATCACCTGAGTGAATGAATCACTCTTTGAGAGAGCCACTTGTTTTGATCATGACTGAATCAAAGTTATGAATGAATCACCTGAGTGAATGAATCACTCTTTGAGAGAGCCACTTGTTTTGATCATGACTGAATCAAAGTTCTGTACAAATCAACTGAGCAAACAACTCACTATTTAAGAGAGCCACTTGTTTTGTTCATGACTGAATCAAAGTTATGAATGAATCACCTGAGTGAATGAATCACTCTTTAAGAGAGCCACTTGTTTTGTTCATGACTGAATCAAAGTTATGAATGAATCACCTGAGTGAATGAATCACTCTTTAAGAGAGCCACTTGTTTTGTTCATGACTGAATCAAAGTTATGAATGAATCACCTGAGTGAATGAATCACTCTTTGAGAGAGCCACTTGTTTTGATCATGACTGAATCAAAGTTCTGAATGAATCACCTGAGTAAACAACTCACTCTTTAAGAGAGCCACTTGTTTTGTTCATGACTGAATCAAAGTTATGAATGAATCACCTGAGTGAATGAATCACTCTTTGAGAGAGCCACTTGTTTTGTTCATGACTGAATCAAAGTTCTGAATGAATCACCTGAGTGAATGACTCACTGTTTGAGAGAGCCACTTGTTTTGATCATGACTGAATCAAAGTTCTGAATGAATCACTTGAGTGAATGACTCACTCTTTAAGAGAGCCACTTGTTTTGTTCATGACTGAATCAAAGTTCTGAACAAATTAACTGAGCAAACAGCTCACTATTAAAGAGCCAAACATTTTGTTTGTGACTGAATCATATTGTTGAACAAACCAACTGAGTAAACGACTCACTCTTTAAGAGAGCCACTTGTTTTGTTTATGACTGAATCAAAGTTCTGAACGAATTTCCTGAGTGAACAACTCACTCTTAAAGAGCCACTCATCTTGTTCAAGACTGAGTTGAAGTGTTGAACAATACAACTGAGTGAATCATTTAATCATAAAGGTTTTGTTCATGACTGAATCAATTTGCTAAACGAACTAAAGAATGAGTGAATGAGTGAGTAAATGTTCGCTCTGTAAATAAACATTAGTGTACATGTATTAATGTCTTCATCTGTCAGTAAATCTCTCCTCCTGCTGCTGCAGTGACCGTGAGCTGCTGGTGGCTCTGGAAGCGATGCTCTTCTGGATGTCTAGCTCTCTGCAGCTCCTGTATTTCGTTCAGCAGGAGGTCCCGCGGCTCCAGAAACAGAAGCAGCCCTTCATCACAGCTCATTCAGACGCAGTGGAGCTGCACTTGGCCATTGAGGAGACGCTGAGCGTTCTGGAGGAGGTGTTCATGTTCTCCTTCCAGCAGTGCGTCTACTACATCACTAAGGTCAGAGCCACTGCACATATTATATTATTATGAGATATCTGTCAATAATGTGCAGCTGATATTCTACACATAATATCAGTCATTTAAAAATATAATAATAAACATACAATGTTGACGCAGTCGCGCAGTAGGTAGCGCTGTCGCCTCACAGCAAGAAGGTCGCTGGTTCGAGCCTCGGCTGGGTCAGTGTGGAGTTTGCATGTTCTCCCCGTGTTGGTGTGGGTTTCCTCCGGGTGCTCCGGTTTCCCCCACAGTTCAAACACATACGGTACAGGTGAATTGAGGAGGCTAAATTGTCCGTAGTGTTTGAGTGTGAATGAGTGTGTATGGATGTTTTCCAGAGATGGGTTGCAGCTGGAAGGGCATCTGCTGCAAAAAGCATATGCTGGATATAAGTTGGGGGTTCACTCCGCTGTGGCGACCCCAGATTACTAAAGGGACATAGCCAAAAAGAAAATAAATAAAAGAATGAATAAAAATACAATTATAAAGTATTTGTTGGTATTTTTATTGCATATAAAAATGAAATATATAATGATTTTATTATTATTATTATTATTATTATTATTATTATGTGGTGAAATGTTTTTAACAGTTAAAGAAATGTTATATAATAATAATTATTATATTATATTTATTATTATTATTATTATAACCCACTGTGCCGCCATGATGCCCATTATTATTATTATTATTATTATTGTTGTTGTATTTTTATATAGTATTCATTAATATTATTATTAATATTATTATTATTATTATTATTATTATTATTATTATTATTATTATTATGTGGTGCAATATTGTTAACATCAGAAGAAATGTTGTATAATAATAATAATTATTATTATTATCATTATTATTATTGTTGTTGTTGTTTTATTATTATTATATAGAATTTGTATTATTATTATTATTAATATGGGGTGCAATTTTGTTAACATTAGAAGAAATGTTATATACTAATATTAATAATAATAATTATTATTATTTTCATCATTACAATAATAATGATGATACTAAATACTATTATAATAATAATAATAATTATTATTATTATAGTATTTATTATCATCATTATTATTGTTGTCGTTGTTCTTGTTATATTATTATTATTATTTAGAATTATTATTATTATATAAATTGGTTATTATTATATAAAATTATTATTATTATTGTATAGTATTAATTATTATTATTATGTGGTGTAATATTGTTAACATTAGAAGAATTGTTATTTGTTTATAATAACAATAATAATAGTTATAATTATTATTATCATTTATTATTATAATCATTAAATATTATTATAATTAATTATTATTATTGTATAGTATTTAATATTATTATTATTAATATTAAGTACAAATATAAAAAAAATCATTATTTATCAAATATAAAAATTTTAGTAAAAATATAAATTTATAATTCACCACCAAACAGACTCAAACAGAATCTACTGTGATGTCGTCGGAGTGACATTAGTTTAGTTATTTAATTACATCTTGTGTATTTTAGTCTTAATGTGTGTATGTTTTTTTATTATTATTTTTTTTATTTAATTTATACTTAATAATATGTACATACACCTCCATTCACAAGTGTGAATCATTTTTCACCATTTTTGAAGCAATCCATGAACTCGCATTGATCAAAAGGCATTAAAGTGACATTAAAGTGACACTGTAGTGTTAATGCTAAAAATGCAGATTTTAGTCAATTTGATTTTACTGTATACTGACATAGTAAAATAGCTATTATCAATTGCAATTATTTATCACATTTTTACAAGACATTTATATTACACTAAAGCAGTGTTGTTGAACAGAACAGGCTTCTTTCGTAAACGCCTCTGACCTCAGATGTTAAAGCAGTCTGGACCTGATGACCTCTTTAAAGTGTTTGTGTGTGTGTGTGTGTGTGTGTGTGTGTGTGTGTGTTTAGCCGTCAGTGGTTTTTCTGAGCTGTTTCTCAGACTCTCCTGCGTTCAGACATCATTTGGCAAAGCCAGGATTTGGGATTGATTTGTATTCTGCCTGAGAAAATCCTCAAACGTCTCGGCCTTTGGGAAATAATAATTCATCTTTGTTCAGAGAGAGATCTTGTTGTGGAAAGAGCTGCGTCTGAATGAGTGTGATCTGATTTACAGGAACAGAAAGTCCATCAGGCTTTTCTGTGGATGAGATAAACTGACTGCATAGAGGAATGTGGAGGGAGTGTGTGGAAACAACATGCAAACAAACTTAACCTGAGATCCAAACTCAAGTTCTATAGTCATTTTTGATAAATATGACAGTGTATTGGAGTCATAGTAAAGTGAATGATACTGTATATATTATAGGACTCTTTATGAATGCTGTAGTATTAACTATAGTGAACTGTAATACATACTGAAGGATGTGTAGTATATACAGTAAAATACAGCATTGGGTCATTTGTTTATACTACTTTGGTTGTTGTATTACTATAGCTACTACAGAATTACCATGTCAGACTGATTACTATAGTCGTTATGTTACCCTAGCAACTGTAGAATTCCCATGACAGATAGAAAAGTATAGTTATTGGCTGCGTCCGAAACCGCATACTTCCATACTGTATAGTACGCTAAAATCAGAATGCGAGCCGAGTAGTATGTCCGAATTCATAAATCTCGAAAATTAGTATGTGAGAAGTACCCGGATGACTTGATTCTGGAGTGCGCAGCCCATGCATGCTGCGCTATCCCATAATGCCCCGCGAGATAATTCATGAATCGAAGTGAAGCGACGCAACTGACGCAGGTAGGTCACATGACCCTGACAAAATGGGGAATATAGTACGAATTCCATTCATACTTTTCACATTCACACTGTATAGAACGCACTTTACTAACGGTCGAGCAGTATGTTTAAATTCAAATACAGTACCTACTGAGTAGCAGGCGGTTTCGGACACAGCCAGTGTGTTACCATAGCAACTATAGAATTACCATGGCAGATTAATTTCTTTAGTTGTTGTGTTACGATAATAACTATGTAATTACCATGAAAGACTAAATGCTATAGTTGTTACCATAGCAATTGCTAATAATTGTTACCATAGCAATTGCTAATTGCTGTGTTACCGTAGCAACTATGCAAATGCTATATCAGATCATTACTATATTTGTTGTTACCATAGTAACTCCAGAAGTACCATGACCGATTAAATATTATAGTTGTTGTGTTGCCATAGCAACTGTAGAATCACCAGTGCAGATTAATGTATGTGCTTTACTGTAGTATGATTCAGTAACACTACAGTATTTACCATACAGTACTATAGTATTTGCTTTTGTTGTGTGGGAAACCGCAGAATGAAAACAGGAGAATTACTTCATTACTCTCGATTAACCGCTTACCCTTGGGTAATTTTACTCATTATACAGGTAATCACAATAATAATGCAGTAAAGTGCACTTTATTAAAAACATGAAGTGCAGTCGTGGGAAAAGTCCTGCAGGACACTCTTACATTTTTTTTATGTTCTGGGGGGAAAAAGGTTTATTGGTGTTTTTAGTCAGTGGCGTTTCTGCTGTGGAAATAATGAAGCAGTGTGTGTGTGTGTGTGTGTGTGTTTTCACTGGTGGCACACGCTGTTTAAATGACATGTTATACTGTAAAAGCTTGGCAGAGAGGGGTTTTTCTGGCCCGTGAGCTCAATATTTTCAATAGGAAAACTGAATGAAAAACAAACAGGAGGGGGTTTAGGACTGTTAGCCGCTCGACGGGAAACAGCTGCTCATTTCTCTGAGCTCCATCACAACATTTACTGTATTCAGATAAAGACAAATCGCATTCATTTACTCAACACACACACACACACACACACACCAATGAGTTTTACTGCTTGTTTAAGCTACTTAATTAAAATAAGCTTAAACAACACAGTTCTTGAGTTATAGGGACAACTTAATCATTTTATCTTCAGTCCAATTAAACTTGTTAAATGAACTTAATTGATTTGTTTTGGGATATTGTGTGGATCTCTGCATTTTTTTCACAGGATAAAGAATTTACTCTTAAATCAGACAGTGACATTAATTAAATGAGGGGCCGCCACAGCGGAAGGAGCCGCCAACTATTCCAGCATATGATTTACGCAGTGGACGCCCTTCCAGCCGCAACCCAGTACTGGGAAACACCCATACACACTCATACACACACACACACACTCATACACTACGGCCAGTGTAGTTAATCAGTTCCCCTATAGCGCATGTGTTTGGACTGTGGGGGAAACCGGAGCACCCGGAGGAAACCCACACCAACACGGGGAGAACATGCAAACTCCACACAGAAACACCAACTGACCCAGCCGGGACTCGAACCAGCAACTTGGTTAAGAAAGAAATATCAAACACTAAAAGTAAGTGTGTGTGAGTTCTGACTGCAGCGGTTCAGATCCGTGGCTCAGTTTTTCCTCTGAGCGCGTGTGGTTATATGGGTGGATGTCTTCTGTGGAAATCGCGGCTCCTCCACAATCCATAGGTCTGATGTCAAACGTGCGTCTGACAAAACCAGCATTGTGCAAGAGCTTCAGACGACACACAACACACTCTTGCAGAACTGCAGGATATCTGCACACACACAGCTGAACATGGAGAGATACAACACACACACACACAGGACACATACATAAACATTACACACAAACATACACATACTCTCACTGGCCACTTTATTAGGTACACCTTGCTAGTGCCAGGTCGGACCCCTTTTGCCTTCAGATCTGTCTTAATCCTTCATGGCAGAGATTCAACAAGCTGCTGGAAATATTCCTCAGAGATTTTGCTCCATGATAGCATCACACAGTTGCTGCAGATTTGTCAGCTGCACATCCATGATGCCAATCTCCCGTTCCACCACATCCCAAAGCTGCTCTATTGGATTGAGCTCTGGTGACTGTGGAGGCCGTCTGAGTACAGTGAACTCATCGTCATGTTCAAGAAACCAGTCTGAGATGATTGAGCTTTATGACATGCTGTGTTATCCTGCTGGAAGTAGCCATCAGAAGATGGAGACACTGTGCTCATAAAGGGATGGACATGGTCAGCAGCAATACTCAGGTAGGCTGTGGCGTTGATGCTCAATTGGTACTAATGGACCCAAAGAAAATCTCCCCCACACCATTACACCACCACCACCAGCCTGCACCGCTGATACAAGGCAGGATGATCCATGCTTTCATGTTGTCTGAGCTGAGCATCTGAATGTGTCAGCAGAAATGGAGACTCATCAGAGCAGCAACGTTTCTCCAATCTTCTATTGTCCAGTTTTGGTGAGTCTGTGTGAATTGTAGCCTCAGTTTCCTGTTCTTAGCTGACAGGAGCGGCACCCGGTGTGCTCTTCTGCTGCTGTAGCCCATCCGCCTCAAGGTTGGACGTGTTGTGTGTTCAGAGATGTTCTTCTGCAGAGCTCGGTTGTAACGAGTGCTTATTTGAGTTACTGTCGCCTTTCTATCAGCTGGAACCAGTCTGGCCATTCTCCTCTGACCTCTGGCCTCATCAACAAGGCATTTGCGCCCACAGAACTGCCGCTCACTGGATATTTCCTCTTTGTCGGAGCATTCTCTGTAAAGCCTAGAGATGGTTGTGCGTGAAACTCCCAGTAGATCAGCAGTTTCTGAAATACTCAGAGCAGCCCGTCTGGCAGCAACAACCATGCCACGTTCAAAATCACTAAAATCCCCTTTCTTCCCCATTCTGATGCTCGCTCTGAACTGCAGCAGATCCTCTTGACCATGTCTACATGCCTGAATGCAGTGAGCTGCTGCCCTGTGATTGGCTGATTAGAAACTTGCGTTAACAAGCAGTTGGACAGGTGTACCTAATAAAGTGGCCGGTAAGTGTATATATACATACACATACACACATCTATCTGTCATATATAATATAATGTGTATATATATATTGTTGCATACAGTGCTGGTGCAACATAATTCCATTCTGCATTAAATGTGTGTGTGTGTTGTTCAGGTCCTGTACACACTCCTGCCGGCCGTTCTGGACAGTCATGCGTTCTCTGCGAGCGAGTGTGTGTCGGTGCAGCGGGTGCTGGAGGTGTTGATGCAGACGCTGCAGACACTCAGAGAACATCACCTTCATCCAGACGTCAGATCACAGCTCTTTTCATACCTGTTCTACTTCAGCAACACACTGCTGTTCAACCTGCTGATGGAGAGAGGTCACACACACACACACACACACACACACACACACACACACACACACACACACACTGTAGCTGTGTTTACATCCAAACATATCCCATCATAAAACATTTGAAATTTCAAAATGAAGATGTTTTCTTGTGTGTTTGTGCATGCATGTGTGTGTATGCACGTGTGTGTGTGTGTGTGTGTGTGTGTGTGTGTGTGCTTGAATCTGGTGTGTATGTTTATGTGCACATGTGTTTGTGTCTTGAATGTGTGTGTGTGTGCATGCATGCATGTATGTGTGTGTGTGTGTTCAGGCTCAGGAGGAGGCTTCTTCTGCTGGTCTCGTGGTGTTCAGATCCGGGCAAATCTGGATCTGCTGCTGGACTGGACTGAAGCTTCTGGACTCTCAGATCTGGCTCAACATTTCCTGCTCAAACTCTCGTCAGCTGTCAATCTGCTGGCCACGCCCAGAGAAACCCTGCTGCAGGTCTGAATCCAGCCCACACACACACACACACACACACAGAAAACCAGCTTGTTCAACCCAGGCTCATTCTGAATATGTACCCGTGTATACATTTTAGGAGAGCTCCAAATATGTCCCAGGATATTTTTTGCAGTGTTTGTTTTCGTGAATCCACCAGATGGTGCTGTTGACTGACCAACCGCCCGATCCCCCCAACCACCCGCTTTCCTAAACCCAACCGAGAGTGTTTTCAAAAGCAATCCAGAAAAAGAAAAGCCCTCGCCTGATTATTACCACTTGTTCATATTTTGCAGTCAAAACTCAGACACACACACACAAACAGACACACAAACAAAGACAGACACAACAGCCAAAACAACTACTATGGAAGTCAATGGATTCCAACATTCTTCAAAATATCTACTTTTGTGTTCCACAGGAGAAACTCTTAAAGGTTTAAAACTGAAAAATGGTTGAGTAAATAATGACAACCTTTTCATTTTGGGTGTCTCCCTCTGTGTGTGTGTGTGTGTGTGTGTGTGTGTGTGTGTGTGTGTGTGTGTAGATGTCGTGGTCTGCTCTGCGTCTGGAGTATCCAGCACTGAACGCCGCTCAGCTCCATCATCTCCTGAGTCAGTATGAGCCTCAGCGGCGCTGCAAACACACCTGCTGCTGGACACCACCCACTGACACAGAGAGCTGCGCCGCACACACCACCGGTACACACACACACACACACACACACACACAGAAACATACACATGAAAAGACACACAGACATATTTACATAGACAGTCACACACACAAAGACACACACACACACTCACACATAGACAGAAACACACACACACATACGCAGACAGACACACACATACAAACACACACACACACACAAATACAGAAACACACTTTTACACACACATACAAACCTGTACACACAAACGAATACAGAAACACACACACACACATACACTGACAGACACACACATACAAACATGTACACACACAAATACAGAAACACACACTTTTACACACACATATTCACAAACATACGCACAAAGACACACAGACACACTTACATAGACAGACACACACACACACACAAACAGAAACACACACACATACGCAGACAGACACACACAAATACAGAAACACACACTTTTACACACACATACACACAAACATACGCATAAAGACACACAGGCACACTTACATAGACAGACACACACACAGAAACACATAAATACACTGACAGACACACACATACAAACATGTACACACACAAATACAGAAACACACACTTTTACACACACATACACACAAACATACGCATAAAGACACACAGACACACTTACATAGACAGACACACACACAGAAACACATAAATACACTGACAGACACACACATACAAACATGTACACACACAAATACAGAAACACACACTTTTACACACACATACACACAAACATACGCATAAAGACACACAGACACACTTACATAGACACACACACACACTGACACAGAGACAGAAACATACCCTGACTGACACAAGTACACACACAAAAACACACACACTCTCCTGATGACTCTGTGTGTGTGTGTGTGTGTGTGTGTGTGTGTCTAGCGGACCTGCTGGAGTGTTTTGATGCTCCTCCTCCTCTGGTTCTGCCCGGCGACGGCTTCCCCCTGCAGTTAAACAGAGCCGTGACAGATCTCAGCCTGATCCAGAGTCTGCAGCTGCTCCAGAAGCGGATCCAGAACATCACTGATCCAGAGTCAGCCACTGCGCACACACACACGCCTCCGGTGCGCACATTCACACACCGCTCATAGCCCAGTCTGGAACACACAACTTTATTATGTAAATAAATAGGTGGGGCGAGACGGTGGTCAGCACTGTGGCCTCACAGCAAGAAGGTTGCTGGTTCGAGTCCCGGCTGAATAATTCTGCATGTATTTAATTCTATATTTAATAATGAGTGTGTTTCTGTCCATTATCCAACACTTTTGAAAAGCTGAAAAGAATAAATGATTAATTCTGCACGTGTTTATTAATAATAATAAGCATGTTTGTGTCCACATGTCAGCATGTCTCTGCCGTGGTGATGGAGGCCAAGCGCACTAAACTAAAGGTTCCTCCTAAAGCTCGTCTGGAGCCGTCGGGTCACTCAGAGCTGCAGTTTCCTCCTGATCTGGACTCCTGTGGAGATCTTTTATCCCAGACTCTTCAGAATCTGGAGCTTCAGGATGAAGATGGTTCTGTTGCAGCGCTGGACTCGTCCTGTTTGCTGACGCCACCGAACACCCCGAGACAAACTGAAGACGATGCAGAGCAGAGTGAGACCAACTCACACACACCATCAACATTCACTCAGACACAGCACACACACACTGACCCCGATGTTCTATTCAGAGATGATTTGATTGGATGTTTCTGCTTTTTGTCGTCTCTGATTGGTCAGATGGCCTCTTCTCTTTCCTAATAGGTCAGATGGCACCTAATCTACTCATATGGGTCAGATAGCCCATATTCTTGTCTGATTGGTCAGATGACCGCTACTGCACTCTAATTGGTCAGATGTCCCTTATTCTTCTCTAATTGGTCAGATGACCCATTTTCTTGTCTGATTGGTCAGATGATCGTACTCTTCTCTAATTGGTCAGATGGCCCTTGTTATTTTCTGATTCGTCAGATGACCCCTGTTCTTCTTTGACTGGTCAGATGTCCCCTACTTTTCTCTAATTGGTCAGATGGCTCATACTCTCCTCTAATTGGTCAGATGTCCAATATTCTAAACTGATTGGTCAAATTACCCCACTCTACTTTAATGGGTCAGATGGCCCATATTGTCCTGTGATTGGTCAGATAGCCTTACTCTCCTCTGATTGGTCAGATAGCTTTATTCTCCTCTGGTCAAATAGCCTTAGCCTCCTGTGAGTGGTCAGATAGCATTACACTCGTCTGATTGGTCAGATAGCCTTAGTCTCCTGTGATTGGTTAGATAGCATTACACTCTTCTCGTTGGTCAGATAGCCTTAGTCTCCTGTGATTGGTCAGATAGCCTTAGTCTACTCTGATTGGTTAGATAGCATTACACTCTTCTCGTTGGTCAGATAGCCTTAGTCTCTCTGATTGGTCAGATATGCTTACTTTCCTATGATTGGTCGGATAGCCATACACTTCTGATTGGTCAGATAGCCTTAGCCTCTTGTGTTTGGTCAGACAGCCTTAGTCTTCTGTAATTGGTTAGATAGCTATACTGTCCTCTGATTGGTTAGATGGCCCAATACCTCCATTCATCACTGATTTTTGGAGTAAGCAGATGTTTTGCATATAGAGTACATATTATTTGTGTGTGTGTGTGTGTGTGTGTGTGTGTGTGCGTGCGTGTGTGTGTGTGTAGGTGAGTGTAATGAAGCTGCTGTTGGAGATGATGAAGATGAAGATGTGTTTGTGCTGGAGTTACAGAGAGCGGCGTGTGGTTTGGGTCTGCTGCTGGTGGACGGAGAGGTGAGGGCTCACATTTACACCGCATTCACAATAATCAAAGAATAATGATCAAATAATTACAGTAAAGTTACAATAATTCGGCTGGAATGACATCTGCTGCATATAAAACAGATGCTGGATGAGTTGGTGGTTCATTCCGCTGTGGCGACTCCTGATAAATAATGGACTAAGCCAAAGGAAATTGAATGATTAATAATAAAAATAATTAATTCATTCATTCATTTTCTTTTCGGCTTAGTCCCTTAATCCGGGGTCGCCACAGCGGAATGAACCGCCAACTTATCCAGAATGTATTTACGCAGCGGATGCCCTTCCAGCCGCAACCTATCTTTAAGAAACATCCACACATACACTCATTCACACACACTTATACACTACAGACAATTAGGTCAACCCAATTCCCCTATAGTGCATGTGTTTGGACTGTGGGGGAAACCGGAGCACCCGGAGGAAACCCACGCGAACGCAGGTAGAACATGCAAACTCTACACAGAAACACCAGCTGACCCGGCCGAGGCTCGAACCAGCGACCTTCTTGCTGTGAGGCAACAGCACTACCTACTGCGCCACTGCGTTGCCATAATATTAATAGTAATTATAATAATAATAATAATAATAATAATAATAATAATAATAATAATAATAATAATAATAATAATAATAATAATAATAAAAGTGACACAAAGTGTTAAAATGTCTTCTAACAACGTTTGATATTTAACATTATGTGAATTAATAAGCATATTAAGCAATTATTTCAGTTACAGCATTAACCATCACGATGAACAGCTCAACAGCATCTCCATGTGGGTCAAAATGGAAAACATTATTGTCAGAGAATCACATGGAACTTATTATGACTGAAAAAACAAGAGTGTGTGGTGGAATAAACATGTGGAATTCTGAAATAACATGTCCTGCTTTAGTTTTGATGACAGAACTGCAGTGATTACTTTGTTTTATTTGTCAGGAAACAGCAGGACTGGGCGTCAGTGGGATCTTCATTAAATCAATTCTTCCAGATTCTCCTGCTGCGTTATCAGAGCGTCTGAAATCTGGCGACCGCATCCTCGCAGTCAATGGAAAGAGTCTATCCGGAGTCGATTATCAGACGTGAGGAAAAACACAGCATCCAGAAACACAACCAACACCACTTTGCACTTTGCAACTCACATACTTCACATAGAAATCTGATATATAAGCAAATTACATATATGACATACAAGGTTATGTTTGGATTTCACTTTTATTAAACAGATATGTTCATTAAAGTAAGAGTTTGGTCTTAAAACATCAAGAAAGATAATATATTCACATTAAAATTAGTTATAAAGTCAGTTGTAGTTATAAAACTAAATTTTATATTTGATTTTACTGTTTTTTATATCAATTTATTTAATATTTCTTTCAGAACATATTAATTTGGACTGTGATCTTCAGATTAGTCAATACTAATCTAACAAAAAATCTGATGTATATGAACAAATATACTACTGTTAAGCATTCTGTAGAAAATATTGCTTTAAAATATGTCATATATGCAACATAAGTATTGGAATTATAAATATGTACATGTTCAATTGTATTAGCTATCATTTTATTTATTTGTGAGTTCATTTGAGTGTATATATATATATATATATATATATATATATATATATATATATATATATAGATAGATAGATAGATAGATAGATAGATAGATAGATAGATAGATAGATAGATAGATAGATAGATAGATAGATAGATAGATAGATAGATAGTGTGTGTACTGTGTATATTTATTGTGTACATATATATTTGACAAAATTGTAGTTTATATTTAGATAAAAAAATATATATGATGCAAATTATATATAAATTTCAATATCTATGTAACAAAATAGTTTTGTTTCTATTTATGTGTATTACATTTACATAATGTATAAGTAAAACACACACACACACATACATTATATCAAAACAAACCTTTATTTTAGATGTGTTTAATCATGATTAATCTTTGCCTAGCTCTAATATAAACATACAGAAACAAAGCAGTACCATATTGCACATCTACAGCATTTATTATGAAGTGTAGTCTCTATTTAAATGGCCGTAACTCTTGAAATGCATGGTGAATTTTCACCAGAATTGGTACATTTGTGCTAAGTCGCAGTATGTGGTTGCATAGAAAAAATAGCTGTGTTTGGCCGTTAGGTGGCGCTGTAACACAGAGTAAACAAGACATTGCCTCTAACTGCAACCATTGAAAGTTGTCATGTATTATACAATTTGATTTAAAAAAAAATTACACAAATTTAAAAATCTGTATTCAAACAAAGAAACATGATGGAACTGTGTGTAATTAATCCATGTGATGAGCACTTAACAACGTTTTTTTCAGTAGACACTCGAGTGACATCAACCTGAAAGTTGTGGCATTCTTTTTGAATCACCCTCTATTTATCTAAAGTGCCATTCATATCTATGAGGATGCAGAACTGGAAAAACAGAAGCCAAGCCTGTGATGTACATAAAGCGAAATGTTTATTCTCTTTCCAGAGGAATGGATCTGATTCAGACGTCAGGAGAACGCCCGCGGCTGCTGGTTTCCAGATCTTACCGCACTATAAGAGAAACACCAGCAAACTCTCTGTGTGATCTGGGAGACTGACTACACTACAACAATATCTGTCAATGTTTCCACTTTCGTCCAAAGTATTTTTTAACTATTTACAGTTAATAGTTGTTGGAAACAAGATCTCCCATAATGCAAATCAAAACCATAAATAAATGTGAGAGCTTCTAATGTAAGGATATGTTTTACAGTGTAAATAACTACAACAAATTAGCTCTAACATGTGCCTTTTCCCCATTTTATTGCTATTTTAATTCTGTTATCTTTGCATTTTTTATTGAAGATGAATGGAAATGAGTGGAAAAATTAATGTATATGTTTTTATTGCATAATGTATGAAATAAATGTGTGTCTGCTTAACTAAAACAAATATAGCAAAAATAAAACAAGTCTTATAATATTTGAGTGCTACTTAAAAATGTAAAATTTATTTTTGTTAAATTTGTTCAGTAATTTGAGTGTATATATACGTATATTAATATTTAATTGGGGAGAAATGCTTAAATGCTTTTGTAGTTTCACTTGATTTTTTATTTATTTATATTACATATGACATGACTTAAACTCTGGGGTCCAGTAAATGTCTCTTGAGATGATAACCTATTAATTAATAACTTTTGTTTTTATACACACTTCCATGATTAATTATTATTTATGAGCAAGTCATTTTAGAAATATAAAGGAAACTTGATCAATATTATGAAGGAAACTTAATGAGTTTCTTCTGTTGAACACAAATGGAGATATGTTGAAGAATGTTGGGAAACTGATGTTGCCATTTAACTTCCATCCACATACACACTCACAAATAAACAAACATTCATTACACGTGGATTTACAAATACACATGCATTTGCTTTTTGTTTATTTGTAATTTGTGTTTGTTGTTGTCAATAATAAATACGTCATTCATTAATTGAAATGAAAAATAAATTAAATTGTATTAGTTTTTCCTACTATCTATGATTACAAGTTTACAACATTCTTCAAAATATCTTCAGATGTGTTCGGCAGAAACAAAAATCATAAATATTTGTAAGTAAATTATAATTTTTGGTTGAAATTCTCTTTGATACTCCTCATGATACTTTGGGTTATTTTGTAAATATTATATTTTATACAATTAACTTGTACTTCACTGCAGCAAATGCATATACATTAGAAAAACTGGAACTAATTTTCCAAAACAATCTGAAGACCGCTGTCCAAAAATGAGTACACCCACATTAATATGTTAGGGAATTTGTTTATAAAATTGTAATAAACATGAAAAATTGAGAAAAACATAAAAAATTATCAATTTAGTTGGAAATATGTTGATAAAAATGTTCGGTGACCCCTCTTTTTTTAATATATCTGTTTAATAAAAACGAATTTGTTTAAATGCACCAAAATATATCGTCTATATTCGCTGATAAATGGATAAAAACATTGATTTATACATAAAGAAATTCATTTATACTGAGCACTATCCGTATAATTTATAATACATTTGGATGAAATGAAGTTGAGGATCATCACATCAGCAAATCAAGGTACTAAAATGCTGTCATACTTTAAAAAGAAGGTGGTAGGCTTTAATATACAAATATGAATACTGATCAGGCCTATAATATAAATAAAGAATATTTCTTGATTTTTGAGGGTTTGCTAGTTACAACTAAACAGATGTTAAAGCAGTAAAGCATTCAGTGAATCCACAAAAACATGCAATGATGGTTAATTTAGTGTTGCCAACCCTCTTAATTATAGAGGTAAAGTTGGTTTTATATTCAGATATTCAGACATTCTCCTTAATAAAATGTCTAAATAGCGAAATCATATAGCAGCCAATGATTATCAAAGTACAGCATTGTTCACAGTCAACTAGATAGTGAGTGTTGTCATACCTGCATGCTAATTCCCATCGAACATTCAAACAAACAGTATAGAGACTTCTAAATAAAAAATAATGGCGAATATAAAACCAAATACCTCTATCATAATTTTTATGTCACCTCAAAATGTTCAAGGTCCAGAATTTGATGGATTCTGTTGTCATTTTGTGGCTGAAATACAACCGCAGGGCAATAATTCTCCTATCAGGGGGATGGTCTCAATGTCCTGATTGTGAAAGACTCCACAGTTGATTTTGGATGGAAGTCCATAGACTAAAGGTGTAACTCCATTATTACCGCACATGTGCTGCTCCTCTGATCATCTGCAGCTGCTCTCTATATTAATTCTTCATTATTTGATCAGAAAATGACTGAATCGGAGCTGTATTCGGTGCATAAAGGTGTGTTTGTGCCCACACATTTACACCCTGCTGAGAGCCTGAAATACTACGAGGACTTCATTTTCCGCCCGGATGACATCCTGATCGTCACTTACCCCAAATCAGGTCAGTCTGGCACTTTTAATAGCTGTATTTTAGATAAAAAGCAAACCTGAAGCTTGTTTAACAGCCGACGCCGCTCCCGCTATTTCTTTGTTTACTTGCTGTCCGTTGGGTTTCTATGGAAGCCCGTTCCCGCCTCTGTCTGAAGTCTGAATAAAAACGATCAAAAATGTATTGTGGCTTTATTTCTCAGAATTGCGAGATAAAAGCGGGAATTGCAACTTTCCCTCTCAGAATTCTGACTTTAGGGAAGAGCTGGGCATTAGTAAAGCGGGGTTAATAGATTATTAAGAAGTAGGTTTTATAACGTTACTTAAGAGTATTTGGAGTAACTTATGTATGGCTTTAAAACAACATTAGCACCATTTAATTGATTGTGAGTAATGTACTTTGATAGTCATTGGTTTCTAATATAATATTTCACTAGTAGAATTAGCAGATTACCTTTCTGAAACTTCATTATTCAGAAAATGTCTGAATGTGGGAATTATAAAACAGTAACACACTAAGCTTTGAGACAGTTGCTCAGTGTTTAGCCTATCACTATGTTTCAGAGCTATTTACCACACTGACTGTCAACTGTCCCTAAATTCCTCCCAAGTTTGAGGATTTGGATGAGAACATCAGGAGAACCATTTCAGCAGCATACAAGTATTTTACAAGTATAAAAATCTGTGAAATATGTTACCCTGCTGAAAGAAAACAGCTAAAACCAGCCTGTCTGACCAGCTAAACCACCTAAGACCAGCCAGCCTGAGCAGCTAAGGCCAGCCTGACAAGCTAAAACCAGCAAAGACCAGCTAGACCAGCTAAAGTTAGCTAAGACCAGCTAAAAACAGCTAAGATCAACCTGACCAGCTCATACCAGCTACAAAGTTGACAAAACCCCTCTAAAACTATCTAAAACCAGCATTGACCAGCTAAAACCAGCTAAGACCCGCTTGACTAGCTAAAACCAGCTTGACCAGCTAAAACCAGCTAAGACCAACCTTACTAACTAAGACCAGCTAAAAAGTTGCCAAAACCCCTTTAAAACTATCTAAAACCAGCATTGACCAGCTAAAACCAGCTAAGACTAGCTTGACCAGCTAAAATCAGCTAAGACCAGTTTGACTAGCTAAAACCATCTAAGACCAGCTAAAAAGTGGTCAAAACTCCTTGACAACCAGCCTGACCAGCTAAAACCAGCTAAGACTATCTTGGCCAGCTAAAACCAGCAAAGACCAGCTTAACTTGCTAAAACCAGATAAGACCAACCTGACCATCTAAGACCAGCTAAAAGTGGTCAAAACTCCTTGAAAACCAGCTATGACTAGCCTGGGAAACCAGCTTGGGTGACCAGCTAAAACCAGCCTGATCAGCTTAAGCTGGTTTTTTTCAGTAGGGTGGTCAAATCTTATATCGTTTTGACTGCTGTCAAAAGTTGGAACCATTTTTTTCAGGTTCTCCAACAAGGGCTCAATGGGCAGGAATTGTAAAGGAAAAACCCTGTATGGAGAGACTGACCAAAGACTTGATTCAAAAGAGGGCAACAAATACAGGGAGAAACGGACTGAGTGTGTCATTGTAAACAATATGTGATCATGTTCTTCAAATGTATTGTGACTTGATTTTGTAACCCCATGACCACCACTTTGTTTCTTTCTCTCCACCGCCTCCTTTTTATTTTCTTCTTTCTTTTGTTTTTTATTACTAAAAGGGGTTATATATATATATATATAGGTCACTGGTCTCAGCTGGGTCAGTTGGTGTTTCTGTGTGGAGTTTGCATGTTCTCCCTGTGTTCGCGTGGGGTGCTCCGGTTTCCCCCACAGTCCAAAGACATTGTCCGAAGTTAAAATTTGTCTTTAGTGTGTGCATAAATGAGAGTGTATGAGTGTTTCCCAGTAATGGGTTGCAGCTGGAAGGGCTTCTGCTGTGTAAAACATATGCTGGATAAGTTGTCGGTTCATTGCACTGTGGCAACCCCTGAATAATAAAGGGACTAAGCCGAAAATAAAATGAATGAATGAATAAGCATATTTAACCCTTGTGTATTGTTTAAATGTCCTCTCCTTTGGTTCTGTTGGTGCTGTTTTTGCCCATTGACTTCCATTATAATGTCATTTTTTGATCGCCAAGCTGTGACAGCATATAGTCATGTATTCTTGATCGTTGGTGGTTTTCCCTGTTGGGAAGAGGAACATTTGTAATTTTACGGTTGACGTGTTGAACCCAGGCTCATTTTTAGAGACGTGCCCAGGGCTACATTTTTGAGAACCATGAGATATAAGCCCAGGGCTATGTCTTCTCGCAGTTTTAGTTTCCGCAAACCCACTACAGGCCACTGTGTAGATTTTTGACAATCTCAAATACGTTACTGGAGCATGTTAGCCCAGCATTCATGCCATAAATCTACTAGAGGCCACTGTGTAATCTTCTGCCTGTGTACATTTGCATAATATATCAGCTGGCTATCGACACCCGCTTCCTTTAACACAACCAATAGTGTTTTCAAAAGCAAGCTAGTGAAGAAAAGCACATCACAGTTGCATGCTTTTACATTTTCATTGAGGTTTGTTTTACCTGGTTTCTGGACGCATCCTTCGCCATGCTGGAATACTGGTTTGCTCTGCTCTGTGTTCCAAGTTCAACACCATACAAGGCGAGCTATCGAGCAAACTGGTCATGCCAGGAAAGCCGTATATATGGGAAAATGTGTTTAGCAGTAGCAAAAACAAGACAGCAGAATTTGTCTGTGGCGTCATACCACCCTGTAGTGTTCGTTTGTATGCAGCCGTATACATCCCCATATTTATATACTGCATACACTATAGTTCAAAAACACACTATATTAACCCATTCATTTTGTAAATACCAGCTTTTATTGTGGATTAATCGTGTTTGACGGCACTAATTGAAATGTTCTGGTCATTATTGTTAATGTGGTGAAATGCTGGTGTGTTGTGTTGTGCTTCAGGCACCACATGGATGCAGGAGATCGTCCCCCTGGTAGTGAGCGAGGGCGATCTGACGCCGGTTCTGACCGTGCCCAACTGGGACCGAGTGCCGTGGCTGGAGGAGCATCGAGCCATTCTGCTGAGTTTAGAGCAGAGAGCATCGCCACGCATCTTCGCCACTCACTTTCACCACCAGATGATGAACCCGTCCTACTTCAAGATCAAGCCCAGGGTAAACACATGCTCACCCCTGACAATCACACACCGCACTGCTCTAATAGACTTCACTGAGGTGACTGTGTGCTCCTCAGGTTCTGTATGTCATGAGGAACCCCAAAGACGTCTTCATTTCTTCATTCCACTATTATGGGATGGCCTCATTCCTGGTCAACCCGGGAACACAAGACGAGTTCATGGAGAAGTTCCTGGATGGAAACAGTGAGACTAATTCAGCTCTCGAGATGCTTCAACATCTCTCACTACAGCAAAGCTTTCTTTCTCTCTTTCATGGTTGATTTCTTCTTTTATTTCTCTTTCCTCCTTTCTTCATTCTTTTATTTTCTTTCTTTCTTCCATCCTTCCTTCATTCATTCATTCATTCATTCATTTATTCATTTTCTTTCTTTGTTCTTTTTTTTTTTCTTTCATTAATTTATTTTCTTTTGTTTAATTAATTTATTTTTTTCTTCTTTTTTCATTCATTCATTTATTCATTCCTTCATTATTTTTTCTCTTCATTTATTCTCTTTTTACTTGTTTTGGTTAAGTAGTTATTTATTTCTTTTTTGTTTCATTTATTGATTTATTTTTTCATTCATTCATTCATTCATTCATTCATTTATTCATTCTTTCTTTTATTTATTTCCATTCACTCCTTTATTTCTTTCATTCATTCATTCATTCTTTCTTTCTCTCTTTCCATTCGCTCCTTTCTTTTCTCCTTCATTCATTCATTCATTTATTCTTTCCATTCGCTCCTTTCTTTCTTCATTCATTCATTCTTTTAATCTTTCCATTCGCTCCTTTCTTTCTTCATTCATTCATTCTTTTATTCTTTCCATTCGCTCCTTTCTTTCTTCATTCATTCATTCTTTTATTCTTTCCATTCGCTCCTTTCTTTCCTCATTCATTAATTCATTCATTGATTCTTTTTTATTCTTTCCATTTGCTCCTTTCTTTCCTCCTTCATTCATTAATTAATTAATTAATTCATTCATTCATTCATTCAATCAAACATTCAATCTTTTATTCTTTCCAATCCCTCCTTTCATTCTTCCTTTATTATTTCATTCATTCTTTTTTATTCTTTCCATTCGCTCCTTTCTTTCCTCCTTCATTCATTCATTCATTCTTTTTTATTCTTTCCATTCGCTTCTTTCTTTCCTCCCTCATTCATTTATTCATTCATTTATTCTTTCCATTCGCTCCTTTCTTTTCTCATTCATTCATTCATTCATTTTTTATTCTTTCCATTCGCTTCTTTCTTTCCTCCTTCATTCATTCATTCATTCATTTATTCTTTCCATTCGCTCCTTTCTTTTCTCATTCATTCATTCATTCATTCATTCATTCATTCATTCATTCATTCATTCATTTATTAATTCTTTCTTTTATTTATTTCCATTCACTCCTTTATTTCTTTCATTCATTCTTTCTTTCTCCCTTTCCATTCGCTCCTTTCTTTTCTCCTTCATTCATTCATTCATTCATTTATTCTTTCCATTCGCTCCTTTCTTTCCTCCTTCATTCATTCATTTATATTTATTCATTCATTGATTCGTTTATTCATTCATTCATTCATTACTTTTTCTCTTCATTTATTTTCTTTTTACTGGTTTTTGGTTGATTTTATTTTTTACATTTTTTTATTTATTGATTTATTTTTTCTTGAATTAATTAATTAATTCATTCATTTTTTCTTTTATTCTTTCCATTAGCTCCTTTTTTTGCTCATTCATTCATTTATTCGTTCATTTATTCTTTTTTCCCTTCATTTATTCTTTCTTTTATTCTTTCCATTCATTCCTTTCTTTTCTCCTTCCTTCATTCATTCATTTTTAAATGTGATAATATCAGTTTTTATGATCCTCCTCTGCCCCTCAGTCATGTTTGGCTCCTGGTTTGACCATGTGAAAGGCTGGCTGAATGCTGCAGAACAGGAGCACATCCTCTACATTTCCTACGAGGAGATGATCAATGTGAGTATTTGTGCTTTCATAATCTCGTGATAACACTGTAATCTTCACTTTAATCCAACGCTTTGCTCTCAGCAGAGGAGTTTCCCGAGAGACGTGATTTTAACATCTTTATAACTCTGGAGTCAGTCAATTATTTACCACTTCAACATTTCAAAACATTTCATCTATAGATAAACCGTTGTGTGTTCATGCATAAAATCCTAAATAGACCATTTAGGTATGCATACGTTATTTCTCTGGTCTTCATGCATTTATAAGCGTGCTATCAGCTTGTCATTGTTCTGCAGGTCAGTGTGTGTTTGTCGTCATATTAAACATTATGAAACCGTTCCAACTCGTTCAAGGTCGCTCTAATGTAATCTCGGTCCTTTTATCGACAGCTAACCTTGACCAAAGTCCACTAGAAAAACGTCAACTAACATTTTTAACATTTTATTTTTATTGATTTGCTACTTTCTTCAAGTATTTTTGGAACTGTTTAGACTATTTTAAATAAATAAATCTGAATAAATAACTGTATTTTCATTTCTGTTGATCTGGTACATATTTATAAACATGATTGATTTCTTTGACAGGATTTGAGAGCATCTGTGGAGAAAATCGCCACTTTTCTTGGGAAATCCTTGAGCTCAGAGGTGGTGGAGAAAATCGCAGATCACTGTGTGTTCAAGAACATGAAGCAGAACAAGATGTCCAACCTTTCTCTGGTGCCGGAGGAGTTCATGGACCAGAAGAAGTCAGAGTTCCTGAGGAAAGGTAAAACACTGTATGCATAATTCCACGCAGTGCCGCAGTAGGTAGTGCTGTTGCCTCACAGCAAGAAGATTGCTGATTCGAGCCTCGGCTGGGTCAGTTGGTGTTTCTGTGTGGAGTTTGCATGTTCTCCCTGCATTTGCATGGGTTTCCTCAGAGAGCTCCGCTTTCCCCTACAGTCCAAACACATGCAGGTGAATTGGCAAGACTAAATTGTCTGTAGTGTATGAGTGTGAATGAGTCTGTGTGGATGTTTCCCAGAGATGGGTTGCGGCTGGAAGGGCATCCGCTGTGTAAAAAGTGCTGGATAGGTTGGCGGTTCATTCCACTGTGGTGGCCCTGGATTAATAAAGGGACTAAGCCGACAAGAAAATGAATGAATGAATGAATGTTGTGGGCGTGTACACAGCTCGCTGTTTTAGGGGCGTGTTGCTTCACATGAAAATTAGTTTCGGCTTCCCGCCCAACGTAACAAGTGGGCGGAGCCAAGAGCTCTCTGTGTTTGCAACAGACAGGCAGACTGAGAGAAGGAGCTGGAGTGAGAGGATCAGCATTCAGCCGTACATGTACGACTCGGACACAGACCAAGCAGAGAGTACACAATCATTTGCAACCCAAGCTCATTCTGGAAACGTAGCCCCGCGGACGTTTCTGGAGACCGCGATTTACGTGGCCGGAGGTACGTAAAGGCCGCGTTTGTTTTTTTCCGAGCGAACGCCGCGGGGCGGTGTGGCGCCGCTCCGCCCCTCCTCTTCGCGTCCGCCAACCGACGGCTCGCCTCCGAGTGGAGGACTTTCCCAATCAATTTTCCGCAATCAGTTTGTCCGCCTAGCTCACAGCGTTGCGGAGGGCCGCCGCGGTGGACGACGACCGGGATCGAGTCCGGGGAACAGCAGGTTCCGGAAATCAGGTGAGACGAAAAACGGAATCCGAAAAATGAGGGCGAGAACACGGCGGGATCCTAAAACGCGGTCGAAATCGAAGACGAGGGCTTTTGCTTTTTTTTTCTTTCTTTTTTTCCCGATCCGGCGGCTTTTCGCGCGGGCGCGAACGCGCGCGCTCCCGAGAGGCGCCCGCCCGAGACGCGAAAAAGCGTGCACAGCGGCCTCTCGCGGAACCGCGAAAACAAAAAAACGCTCGAATACGTACCTCCCGGGACGTAAATCGCGGTCCGCAGAAACGTCCGCGGGGCTACGTTTCCACAATGAGGCCGGGTTGATCATTTGTGTCTTTGAATAGTTTAACAGCCAACTGTGTGCTAGTTTCAAGTGCCGAGCTTGTACACTGAGACTAATAACCACCACACTGAATTATCTTTGACTGAGGCACTGAATGCGCCGCGAAACAGCACACCAGACACTCTCTGTGGCGCGGAAGAAACATTTGTTATGTTGTTAAATTGAAAAAAAAAAAGGACTGTGTGTGTTTATATCAGCCCAACATGACAGTATATACACTATGCTTACACACATGTCTGTCCAAACAGCTTGAAAAGTACATTTTTCACCATAGGTGCCCTTTAAAACATTTACTCCTGAACGTGTCTATAAAATAAAGCAGCATACTAACTGTTTGTATTATTATACCTCTTAAAGTTACCCTTTATTTGCTTGGGTAAAGAGATAATATCATATATACTGTAATAAACGCTTCAGCAATTAATCACAACAGGAAAATTTGACAGCATCATAAGCCTAGCTTTAATATGATTAGTTAATCTATGTAAAAGCACTGTAATTATAATAATAAAGAGGAGCTGTGTGAACAACAGCACTGTGTACAATAGAAAGGACTGAAGGATGTTTGAGTGAATGATCCCTTTACTTTATTGTGTATTCAGCTGTTCAGTGTTCACACCCGTGCTGTTGTCTTTTCCTGTTTTTCGCTGTCAGGAATTGCTGGCGATTGGAAGAATCATTTCAGCGCGGTCCAGGAGGAGAGATTTAATGCTGTATATGACGACAAAATGAAGGATGTCAAATTCAAGTTTCCATGGGACTGAAATCCATTACTGTCTGCTTATAATAAACATTTGGTGCACAGCCACTATGGTGATTGCTTTTAATAATAATATACGATTATACTGCTTATTACATAAAATGATTCTGATTGGCTAACGAGCTGTTTTTTGGCCCATTTCCCCTGAGTGGTACAGTACGGGTCACCTTTATCAGGCTTGGATTTACACTGTCAAAAGTGGATTACCTGAATGATTTACATTTGCCAAATGCCAGAATAGTGAGAGAATTTGATATTATTTTCTAGACAGTCAGAAGTTTACACACATTTCCTAGGTATTTTTAGCTTTGCTTTTAAACTGTATAACTTTGGTCAGATGTTTCGGGTCTCCTTCCACAAGCTTCTCACAATAGTTTGCAGGAATTTTGGCCCATTCCTCCTGACAGAATTGCTGTAACTGAGTCAGATTTGTAGGCTGTCCTGCTCGCACAAGCTTTTTCAACTCTGCCCACACATTCTCTATAGGATTGACATCAGGGCTTTGTGATGGCCACTCCAAAACATTCTCTCTGTTGTCCTTAAAGCACATTTTAGCTAATTTGGCAGTGTGCTTAGGGTCATAGTCTGTTTGGAGGAGCCATTTGTGGTAATGTCCTGGCTGATGTCTTGAGATGTTGCTTCAGTTTTTCTTCATAATGTTCTTCATGATGCCATCTATGCTGTGAAGTGGACCAGCTTGTGCACGCGCTAGCGACATTCTCTGTAAACCAATAGCGCTCAGCTGTGCGCTTTGCTCCGGCTTTTGGTAACTTTTTGTCGTGCTAGGTACCCTTTAAAAGGGCACACTAAAATGGTACCATACAGTTTGCTTTTTAGTACCTCTTGACAGTGGAAACGGCCATAAAAGCGTACCGAACCATACCATACCGTACCACTCAGTGGAAATGGACCATAATGTGTTTGGTTATTGTCAGATAAAGGCACAGCTAAAGTAGTTCCAGCAGGTTTACAGCTCATTACAGCTCCATATCACTCCGCTGAATGATTTCAGTTATTTTACAGCTACAACACACAAATCACATCATTACACAGCATCACCATTATTGTGCATTATTTTCTTATAATTCAGCCTGTTTCCATTTTTTTATTAATATTTATGTGTATTAAACGTATATTTGTTGTTTACTGTAGTTGTTGTAGAATCCCCATTACAGATTAATTCAGTAGTATGGTCCAAAAACACTACAGTATTTTACTACAGATTGCTAAATTAAAGAAACTAATTTATTTGGCTAAATTCTGTAAATGTAGCCTTCAAAATCTGACAATTTAAGCATCCCACATGAAAAATACTACAATAATTTATTGTAAATACTATAGCAGTTTTGAAAAACATTTTATTAGGATTTTTTTTTAATGGAAGGGCTTTAATGGGATAGTTCACTGAACAATGAAATATTTTAAATATAATAAAAGATAATTAATGTTGTTTTATTATCATTTATAAAAATGTTTAATCATTATTTACTTGTTTCAAACCTTGATTGGTTTCTTTCTTCTGTTGAACACAAAAGTAGATAGTATTTGTTTTTCTTGCTATGGTCAAAGATTATAGGTTGTCCTCATTCTTTGACATGTCTTAGGTTTATAACCGCTTGAGGCAGAGTAAATAGTAAGCAAATAGTCACTTTGAGTGAACTACAGGGGGGTTTGGGGGGGTGACTCCCTTAATTGAGACTTGAAAGACGTAAAAACTAGATGTAATGGGGGATCAGCTGTTTAATTGTTGTGCATAGTTTTCACTTATCTGTATATTAGATAATATTATTAATAATTAAAACAATAGATAATATAAATATACATTTGACCACCCCTATAATGGATCATACCATTGTAAATGTATATTCGCGCAACAGTCTGACTGAAACTGCAGATAAAGCACAGAGTCCGATAGACAACACAAGTGTTCAAACTACACTTTACTATGTAAACAGGTGTTTGTTTCTACATGTAATCTAAAATTAAAGTCACCATAGACACATAGTTTGACCCACAGTAACCTCTGGAATAGATTGTCAGTGCTAAGTAGGTTACCGTAGGTCAGAATAGGCTACAATTTCTCAAACACAGAAAATTCAACTGTTTCATTAATAAACTTGATTGAATTAAAATATATAAACACAGATATGATTCACTGTTGAACATTACACAAACTAACGTTACCGAAAAAGTCGACTTGCTCGATCGATGTATGTCAATGTATAGGCTAATTCAAGTTATGCTAGGACTGTTCTACAAAATAAATACACCAGTGATGATGGTGATAAACGCATGAGGGCTTTATCGTGTCACCAGCACAGAACACTATGTTAAAAAAACAAAACAAAACAGAGAACAAAACAACAAGTGTTCCTCGAGGGAATAAATCAGCGTCTCAGTCAGGAACAAAACCGCAGTCGCTGCACAGAACCGGTGTCTCCGTCAGGAACACAACTGCAGCCGCCGCGCACAACCCCTGCAGATCTGTCCGAGTCTCCAGATACACACACAGCTCGAGTTTCTGCTCTACGTTTGCTTTATTAGTATTATATTGACAGAAAATGACGGAAGCAGAGCTGTATTCCTCTTATAAAGGTGTGTTAGTGCCTTCATATGTACACCCTGCTGAGAGCCTGAAATACTACGAGGACTTCACTTTCCGTCCGGATGACATCCTGATCATCACTTTCCCTAAATCAGGTCAGTCACACATTAATCAGACTTTTATCAGCAGTGCCGTGTTATAAACCCGTGTTTACTATGCGCCTGCTGCAGAGTTGTGCTATGGGAAACTCGTTGAACTCTTGCGTTCGACACACACAAGTTTGTTTTTCCCTATAAAACTTTTTTCCAGGTGCATGTAAGTTTTGGAAAGTTTGTATTATTAATAATGTTAGTAGTTGTAGTAGTAATCGTGTTAATATCACTAATAATAGCTAATGGGAATAATATTCTACACGCAGAATGAAGGTAGATTAATAGCGATGTAATCTTCCTTCCGGGTTACCATAGTATTATTGTTTATTATTAGTAATAGCTTCTACTAGCCTACTATTATTTATATTAGTATATTATTATTGCTGCTAATATAACTATTCTTATTATAATATTGCTGCTATTATTATTAATATTATTATTGTATTATTGCTGCTATTATTATTAATATTATTGCTGCTGTTATTATTACTTTAGTATAAATGCTGCTTTTATATTATTATTATTAATAATAATAATAATATTATATTGTTGCTGCTATTATTATTATGATTATTATTATGTTATTGCTGCTATTATTTTTGTATTATTATTATATTATTGCTGATATTATTATTATTACTTTAGTATTAATGCTGCTATTATATTATTATTATTATTATATTATTGCTGCTATTATTAATATTATTATTGCTGCGTTTATTATTATTATTACTTGAGTATTAATGCTGCTATTATATAATTATTATTAATATTATATTATTGCTGCTATTATTATTATTATTACTATTACTTTAGTATAAATGCTGCTATTAAAATATTATTATTATTATTATAGTTACTATTAATGCTGCTATTAGTATTTATATTATTATATTATTTTTATTGCTGCTATTATTATTATTATTATATTATTGCTGCTATTATTATTATAAGTAGTATTTTTTTGCTATTGGTATTATTATATTATTAATGCTGCTATTTTATTATTATTTTTCATTATTATTTTTTATTTTAATGCTATTATTATTATTTATATTATTATATTATTATTGCTGCTATTATTATTATCATTATTATTATTTATGCTATTATTATTTATATTATTATTATTAATGCTGCTGCTATTATTATCATATTAATATTAATGCTGCTATATTATTATTATTATTATTATTAATTCTGCTGCTATTATTATTATATTATTATTAATGCTGCTATATTATTATTATTATTATTTATGCCATTATTATTTATATTATATCATTATTGCTGCTATTATTATTATTATTATTATATTAATATGATTGCTGCTACTATTATATTATTATTATTATTATTATTATTTATGCTATTATTTATAATATTATATTATTATTATTGCTGCTATTATTATCATTATTAATATCATTATGCCTATTATTATATCATTAGGCTTTTTATTACTTAAAAACCATACAGGGATAAAGGAAAAACATTCAGAAAGGCTGTATAATAATACACATATTAAATATAACTCTAATATTGACAGAGTATTAACAGAGATTAATGCATTATTAGTATATTAATTACAAATAAACTTTGTCTTCTTTTACAGAAAATTATCTTGTGTTATTATTATTTATTTATATTGTTCTGCATGTAAAAGCTGACCGTGTTTTGATTTGTCGTATTGATTGTCGTGTATATAATCACAGATGTACAAGAGGATGATGAAATTATTTAGATTTTTTGTATTGTGAACTCTAAGAGATTAAACTAAAGCAGTTTACTAATGTTGTACCAACAAATCAGCTGCATTGTAAAGCATTAAAGCATTTGCAAATGTCCCTTTAGGGGCTCCATATTAAAGCGCCAGACTTTTATTCTGTAAAGAAGCACATTTAAATGAATTGATTGTGAATGAATTGTTGTTGTTGTGCAAACTACTGAAACAAAATAATTATTGCTAATTAAGAAAACAGCTATTAGCCTATTATAGTGAATGCAGAAAGGCAGTAACCGACTTTTCCTGGACAATGCTGTATATTTTGGCTGATAACAATCGGGTGTTTTCTTCAGGACATGCCGTTCTGTGGATTGGAATGTAGATAACATGGAGACATGGCTGTGCGTGCTTTGAACTGCTTAAAAGGTCACGAATCTCGCGTTTCAGAACTGGTTTGTTTTGTACACAGTTTGGAAAAAGCTACTGCCAGAGTGGGCGTGGTCGAGTGGGGGGTGGGGCGTGGTCAGATATTTAAATTTAAGACTTTAATCATTTTTAATTGTTAGTTTTTTTGCTATCTA